ATCGACAGGGTAATTTTATTTATATAATTTCAAATAAATTAATTCATTAATTATTCCATATTAATCTTTGTTGTTTAAATTTATTTTCTTTTTTTTTTTTTTTTTTTTTTTTTTTTTCTAATCATTAAATTTTAATCCACTCTCATTACCATTTATACCATATGTATATATTTATAATTATAATTATTATTATTAATAATAATAATGTGTCAATGTATGTGTATTTATACGGCGTGTACAGATTTTTTTTAAAATTATTTTAGTATTTATTTAGATAAGTAGAAAAACCCTTAATTGTAATATTATTTACGTGTAATTATTAATTTAATTAATAATTTATTTATCCATTAAATGCAAGTAATGAAACGTATGTTTGTTTATTATTAATCGATTATTAAACGAATAAATAGTCTCTCACTAATCAATGGGCATCAGCAGTTTAATTTATTTTATTACTCACTCCTTTAATTGAACTTATTTTATTATTATTTATTATTTATTATTTAACTAACTAATTTTCTTTTAATTATTTGTTCTGCATTTAATTAATTTTTTTTTCGTTTTATTTTTTTTTATTATTAATATTCAAATAGTTTATGAACAGTTTGAAAAAATTAACTAGCATTGAATACTTTTTTTTTTCACCCGGGTTTAGATCAAGGTTCAGGCGCGAATTTTTTTATTTATTTACCTAATTATATTACAGCGCTAACAAATTCCGCGGTTACAATTTTTTTATTTTATTTACTAGTTTTTATTTTATTTATTTACTTTTTTACAACGTCGCTTTTTTTTTTTCATTCAAATCTTTACTCCCTGTTTTGGTTTTATTTAAGTGGCGGTGGTTTACTGATTCATGAAAAATTAACATAAATATTTTTAAAAATACTAAAGTAAAAATTTTGAGAATTTTTTTGCCCTTTTAAATTTTTTTTTTAATTTTAAATTTAAGTCAAAAAATTTTAATCAATTTTTCAAATTTATTTTCTGTATAATAATAATAATTATTATTAATTAAAATTTATAATTTAATAATTAATTAATTATTTCACAAAAAATTTTTAAAAATTTTTTTAAACAAAAATTATTCCTTTTTTCTAAAAAAAAAAATAAAAATTAATTTTCAACTTTAAAATTAATCATTCAAACATTTCGCATACATAACACAAAAATATTTTTCATGAATCTCAATAAATATAATTATTATCAAAATAATACCTCGTAAACATTTAAATATTAATTTGTTTTTATTTAATTATAAATTTTATTGTTTCATTGTTTTTTTACAATTGAATAAATCTATCGATATCAATGAATTATTAATTAATAATTAATAATAATAAGAAAACTGGCATGGAGTAATTTACAATTAAAAATTGAACTCGAGATTTTTTTTTTTTTTTTTTTTTTCAAAAATGGTAAGTTACATGAAGACGATAGATAGCAAATTATTCACGGGAGAAATATATATTTACATATGTTGTATATGTATTTATTAAATGTAATATATTTTCGTTTTAATAGTAATTCGTTTTATTTACCATTATCATTATTTTATATTATATAAATTATTTTGTTAATATTAATATTATGTTTAAATATTTAAAGCGGCATATTCTAACCGATGACTTTCTTTTTTATAAATTTATTTTTACGGAAACTCGGAAATACCGCAAACATAATTTTAATTATTTTATTAATTGTATAAGAAACGGCATGTAAATTCTAATTCCAACATTAAATGGTAAGAAATAATAACTATATAATTTCGTTTTTTTATTTTTTACTGATTTTTAGATTAGTTTATTTATGTATTTATTTTATATTTCATAATAAACGCGCATTTGTCATTATTTTATGACTGACGTCAAGGATTATTATCATTATCGTTATCATTATTATTATTATTATTATTATATTAATTTACACATACATCCAAGCTCTGTATACCATTCATGCTATTTATTTTATTCAAACGATCGTACAATTTATCTACAGTAGTCTTTTGTTTGTCTTTGTAGCTTTTAGACAATTGTTTAATTTTCAATTTAATTATTAAGATTTAAATAATTAGATTTTTATTTTCAATTCATCGTTTATTTATTTTGTAAATTTGGTCTGATTTAAAACAATATTATTAGATTTCAAATTATCAACTCAGTTGGAAGGAGGGATGTTTTTGCGTTAATGCTTTCTACAATTTGGATTAGATTTATCACAGAAAAACATCGTTAATTATAAATTTACTCACATTTAACGCCCGTCATGCATAATTATATTTTTACCAAAAATTAAATTTTATTTTAAAAATAAAAAATGACAATTATTTTATTGCAAATAAATTTATGCCAATTTTTAATAATCTTAATTTTATTTTAATTTTTTGCCAGATATACAATTCTAAATTAATTACTCGCAATTAACCGATGGCAGTATATCAAATGTGTTAAAAATTTTGATCTAATTACACAATCATTTTTTTTTTTATTCTTAGTATTAAATTATATAAAACAATTAAACAGAAGAATTATTAATTAGCTCTTCAATCCATTTGTTATTATTAATAAGCACATTATTAAATAGACAATTTAAAGTACCAAAATTTTAAATTATTATTCACGAATAAATAAGATAAGCATAAGATTCATTAATTTAACAATTATTTCTTCACAAATCTTTATACAAAAAATTTTGCGTCAAAAAATTTGGTGTTAAAAATTTTTTTATTAAATATTTAACACTTTTATGTGTTAATTTAACATTTATTTTGTTAAATTAATACAAAAAATTTAAAAATATTTTAATATTTTTAAATATTAAAATATTGACACAAAATTTTTTTACTATGTAGTCTGATTTTTCCTCATAAAATTTGAACGAACAACGGATAGAATAAAATTATTAACGCACGGCGTAATTTAACATGATAATCTATTATTAATTAATTAATAAATTGAATAATAATTTAATTAATGAATAAATAAAATCCATGAATCTCAACCCTGAAGACTAAAATTTGGCAATAGCTACAATAAAAAATTCGATGCATTTACAATAAAATTAACAATTATATCTTGATGATAAATTTGACAAGTTAAACCCTGTTACATATAATATTAATAATAAAAAATGAATCAGCTCAATGAAATATTCGATTGGCTTTAGTCATTTATGCACACTTAATTAATAATAAACCTTTCTCACGTTTAATTTATTTATACGTTTGTTTTGACCTTAACTACATTTTTCTTGCTCTCACAATTTTCTCATTAGTCATTTGTCCCTTTATTTATTACACAATTATTAAATTACCAGAGAATCTATTTAGGATTTAATTTAATTTAATTTAATTAATTTATTTATTTAAAGTGTAGTGAAAACACGAGAGTGATATCTAAACGCAATGATTCACGCGTTAATAGAGGCGAGGAATAAAACATAGATTTTTTTAAATATTTATAACTCGCCAGACGATCGCACTTTTGGATTAATTTGTTAAATTAATTATTAATATTTATTATTATTTATAATGAAATTTCTGTCTTGGTTCATTAAAACCGTTCACCGAGATCTCGCTTTCAGTTGTCAGTCCACAAATATATGAAGCTCTATTTTATTTGATAACTGACCCCGGTGACCCGGACAGTGTGATAATCTATTATGAGAAATTTAATTAAAAGTCTTTCATTATTATTATTATTATTATTATTATTATATATCAATATAAGCACTTGATCGATTTGCTTTGTTAGTTTTTTTCTTTTGTCTATTATTATAATTATTATTTATAGTTATTTATAGTATTTATATATTTATAATATTTATAATTTTAATTATTTGTTCCAACCACGAGAATCGACGGTCACTGACACGATTATCGTTAAATAATAGTGAGAATCCGGCTCACATACCAACTCAATAAATGCCAGCATGTCACGCATCCAATAGTACACAAGCTAGCTAATTTATCATTTTTTTTTTTTATATAATAATCATAATAAATTTTATTGGAATAATAACAATCTCATGATACAGTAAAAAATTTTTTGTTTAAAATTTTTTTTTTCTTTTTAATTAATTAAAAATAATCTATTAATTATAAAAAAAAAAAAAAACGTCAAATTAATTTAATTATTTTTTCATAAAAATTAAAAATTTTTTATATTTGGTTTTAATATTAACATTTTTTAAAATTAGTAAATATAAAATATTAATTATAAATTTTTACACTAATTTAAAAGAAGAAATTTTATTCAAAAATTTTTATATTGAATTAAGAAGAAACATTCTTTAATAAATTTAAATTAAAAAAAAAAAAATTCTGCCTGATTTCTTCATAATAATCATAATAATTATTTTGATAAAAAATAATTTTTTACGTTTTATCAGTGTCAAATATTAATTATAAATTTTTACTCTAATTTAAAAGAAGAAATTTTGTCCCAAGAATTATTTTTAAAAATTTTACATTGAATTAAGAAAAATTCTTTAATAAATTTAAATAAACTTTTAGTAAAAAATAATTTTTTTTTATCAGTGTGAAATATAATAAAAAATTTTTTACTGTAAATCTCTTTCTTCTTTATAATAATAATAATAATAATAATCTTTAAGCAATCTTGAAATCCAGCCGATCAAGAGCGTTAATAATCGTATAAAAAGCGGCTCTTTGATAAAAGACCTGTTTGCTGGCCGTCAAGATTGGACGCATCGCAAGTTGGCATGTAATTAAACACAATAATAATAATAATATATAATCTTTAACAAATAAATCGATTCAATATAATATAATAAACGTCGTATAAATACGCATATACTTATTTTAAACGTATTATATACATAATTAGATAAATTTATAATTTATAATAATAATATAAGAAGATATAGCTATAACTATATAATTAATATTAAATAAATAAATAAAGTGTCCTTTCCTATTGATGAAAGGCTGATCAGCCGTATTATCAAAAAGTGACCCCTTCTGGTCGTCGTTTAATTAACTAAGACAACAACAGTCTTAAGAAGATGGATTGGCGGCGCCTCACTTGACTTTGCAGGCAGAAAGACCCCGCGAAGAAGCTTGGACATCGCCGGACCACCGTCCAGGGTCCCACGTTGGCTAGCACCAATCGTCTTCGTCGCTGTCGGAGTGCCGGGACCGGGGTATCCTTTGCTTGCTGGAGGACAACCCGGCTGAGGGCGGCTTGAACCCGTTGGGAACCGGGCTGGGCAGAAGCCGACCGCCGCGACCCATAGCCACCGCTTGCTCGAAGCTGAGTGGACACTGAGGCGGCCCCGCCGGTGGAATGTTCCCCATGTGGTGGACTGGAACTTGTGCCGGGTGGTGGCCCATCAGGTGGGGCCCGTGGGTCGGCGATGCGTTCAGCTTCGGGAAGTTTATGTTCGATGGCTTCAGCTGGAGCGTCGATGGCTTGTTCGGCGTTGGGGGCAGACGACGGCCTTGCCCACGGCGGGTTACTAGCACCGGGTAGCTGTGCTGGTGCGGGTGATGGTGGTGGTGAGGGTGGATCGGCTGCCGGCGAGACGCTGGACTTGGGCTACGGGAACGCTGTTCCAGGCTCGTCGTTCCGTAGTGCCGGCCGTGGTCCATTCGGGGAACCGGGCTCGGCGATCGCGCCGGACTCGTCGACGCGCTCCATGGACCTAAGATTTTTTTTAGAAGGTTAGTTTTGTGAGGTTGGCTACCTTGGGAGGGTAATGCGTTTTCAAGCCGAGGTTCGTGCTATTTTTTTGTGCTGAAGGTGATACTGAAGGTAGCAAATACTAAATTTTTAATGATACTGAATTTAACAGACATTCAACATTTTTTATTTATAAATAAATATAATTTTGATTTATTAGATAATGACTTTTGTTAAATTGAACTGTATTTTCTTAAATATTGACATTTATGAAGATATAAGCTCATCCCGATGTTACACTCATCAAGACCTTTCATTTGAGTACCCACATGCATTTTTGATATATTTTTCATTTATACATATATAAATATATGAAAAATTAATGTGGATACTTAAATGAAAGGTCTCGACGAGTGTAACATCGAGATGAGCTTATATCTTTAAAAATGTCAATAGTTTACTAGATACAAGGTAATTTCTTGATTATTGATATTTTTAAAGATATAATTTCATTCTGATGTTACACTCATCAGGAGCTTTCATTTGAGTACCCACATGCATTTTTGATATATTTTTCATATATACATATATATTTAATATATATATATAAATATATAAAATATATAAAAAAATTGATGTAGGTACTCAAATGAAAGGTTTCGATCAGTGTAATGACAGGATGAGCTTATATCTTCAAAAATGTCAATAGGTCACAAGATACAAGGTCATTTCTTAATTATGTGTCTAGGGATCGAGAATTTTCGAATGCAGCCTAAATACTTATCATCATAAATTGACTATCGGAAAGAATGAAATATGAAATCGTGAATATCTTCAGTATAATTAATTTTATGGTTTTTTTTTCTTGATAATCGAAGAAAATTTTGTAAATAATTTTTACTGATAAAAGACAATTGTTTTATTAAAAAAATTGATAAATTGTCTGCAACTTCAGTATCATAATTGAAGAAGATGATAAATTCTTTTTTTATTACATTGAAATTATTAAAAACTACTTAAAAATTTTGCAATTACAATATTCCCAATTATAATTTATGTGATATAATAATAATAATAATTTAATTCAATAATAATAGTAATAATATAATTTATGCAATTACAATTTTGAATAAAAATATGTCTAGTACTTATTTTTGTTAAATTATATAAATTACAATAATTAAAATTAAAAATCAAAATGAATCATTTTCTTCAATATGTGCATAAAGCCCAATAACAACTATATCACATACCTAGATACCAGCATGATACGCTAATCATCGAAAAAAATCGTGTAAGTGAGATGAACGTGTTTTCAAAGCACATGCATCTGTCACGTGCATTTTTCGATTGTGTGTAATATACATTGTATACCATATATCCAAATAAATAGTACATGTGTTATTATGATAATTATTATTATAAATTTAATTTCAACAAAACAAACATAAATAAAATAACAATTTTTGTAAATAATAAAATTGCGATATGTGTTGCTCTAATCTAGTGTCGTGTTGGTAGAGTGTTTTTTGTTGTTATTGTTTGTGTAAACAAAAAGGTATTGTACTTCGTGCTGTAATAGGATTTAATTATAATTATAAAAAGTAATAATAATAGCAATAAATAATACAAAAAAAAAAAAAATTGCAAAAGCTCAAACAATTAATGAAAGAAGAAAAGGGTGGAGGATAGTTAATACAGTAGTTTTGATTATTTTTTTTTGGATTTTTGTGATAATTTACCATCGTCATAATAGTCGTAGTGGTCGTAATAGTCTGTGTAGAGCGCATAACCCAAAAGAATGAGAAAAAAAACATATTACATCAAGTCACACAGAGCTCTGCCTCTTGCGAAGAAATTATTTGTAGCAACATTCATGATTATTTTTAATGATTTTTTATCATAAGCTTTGAATTATTCTCTTATTTTCTTAAGCAACATAAAAAAAATATGAATCAATAATTAACATTATTCATAATAACAAAATTATCGTGTCTAAGGATCAAAGTCTTCGAAATTTGAAAATTCAGATCAACAGTTAATAAATTTTGCACAAGAATATAAATTGTAATTAAATTGAAACAATTAGAAAAATAAAAAACACATCAACATTTAGAGTCGGGGAAAAAAAAGAGAAGAGTTGATCCTTTGATACGAATTTTTGAGCAGTTTTTAATTATTTTTTTGTTAATTAATGAAATTATTTAGTGGCTTTAATTCTACTTTCTAAGTTTTTTTGCTGTTATTATGAATAATTTTAGATCTAAAAATAATTCTCAGCTGAAGGACGATAAACACCAGTTAGTAGTAACACTTATGAAGAATATAAGCAGTTCGTACCTCTTTTATGCCGATGATTGTACTGCGAATGTGGATGATGAATGTGTCGTTGAATTTCCACAACATTGGTCACTGTATCGCTAAAACCAACATCATGGTACTGGGGTTGATGGTGATCGTATCTTGGTCTTCTCGATGGCGAAGGTGATCTATGTAATGGCGAATGTCTTCTAAAAATTTTTATATTTTTTAGATCATGCTTGCAGTACTAATGAAGAGTATAAAACATTTTTTTAAGAATTGAAAAATTTACTGAAATAATAAAAAATAATTTTTTTTTCGTTTAAAAATATTTTGTATTTTTGTTAGTCCAAAAATAGACTCTTGGGCTACTAAAAAGTCAAAATTTAATAAAAACTTCATTTTTTTAATCTAAAAATCGAATATATTCAAATTTTTTCATATAATTTCTTTTATTAATTAAATTACAGCTAAAAAGATATTTCTAAAAAATTGCACTTGTAGCTTTTTAAGTTTTTTACAAATGAAATTTTTTTTAATTGTTTAATTGAAATTTTTTCAATAAAAAATTTCTAAAAATGAAGAATTTAAAATACATTTTTTTATATCCGCTCTTTTGATTTAAGAATTTTTTTTTTTAATTTTTTTAAAAAGTGCGCATTAAAATAAAAATTTATAATTCATGATTAATTATTTTAGTAAAACTTCATATTCTGAACATGACTAAAGTAATAAAAAGTGAAAAAAAAATTTTTTTCATAATTTTATACATTATTTTTTAATTAAAAAAAGTCTTATCTGTCTGAAAAAAATACCTTAAACTTGGTGACCGTGAATGAAGTCGTGGATGAAGTGGTTGCGAATGAATTCGATCGCCAGTATGCGTTAAACTTTCAAGGCTTCCCACACGTGAATCACTAACTACATCCTGTAGATCCTTCAAATGAAAATTAGTTAATAAATAAATAAGAAATAAAAGAAAAATTAAATAATTAAAAAAATAAAACTAAGGAATTATCCTGTTAAATCATAGGTATCGTTGGTTCCTTTGCTTACAAAATCATTTTTTTTAGAATTGTCAAATCATTGATAAATGATCGGACGTCTTTTGCCTCCAACTCTTTTCCAACCACGTCTTTTAAATGAAGAATTTTTGAGAAAAAAAATTCTTATTTAAAGACGTAAGGAGACAGCGTTTCTTTATCAGCGAAGTAGAGAGCTCAATAGTTCAAATGAGTATGAATTAAAAGAAAAAAGTAAAGAATGGTTTATTAGATAATTATTAAAAATGCTATTGCTGTTTTATTTAAGCATGCCGTATCTAGAAATCATGCGCATGCATTTTGTGTTTTCGTAAAAATATTTCTTCAGTGAATTGTAACTTTTGAATGTGAATAATTAATAAAGAAAGTAAATAATAAATTTTAATTGTATGATTGTGACTACCTGCTATCGGCTATGAAAGATCTATCGTTACTTACCACATTAGTGTTTTATTTTTTTTACACATTAGTTTTATTTAACTTAATTATTATTTTATAAGTATTGTAAGTAACACGAGGATGAAAGCAGCTAGGGATGGGTGAGACTTTTCACTAACACTTACTGAGTATGACTATTTTTACAACTAACCCCTTTTTATTAAAAAAAATCTAAATAATCGTCTTTGGAGTGGCAAGTTTGGTAAAGTTACGTCTACGGGATATTTCGTCTAGTCTATCGCCGGAATTTTGATCCAATTCTAATGACTAAACATATATCTATCAGTAACAGATGAAGTAATGATATTGAGACTTTCTGCTTCTTATTTTTAATTTAAAATGGCCAGTTGTTTACTTTTTAAAAAAAAATTGAATGAAAAAAAAATTAATTAAGAAACCATTTAATTTGAACCTGATCAGGTCATAAATTGACAAGATTTTTGTAAAGTTTTGTTATTAATTAATGTGTCATAACTTTAAACTCATTGACCAAATGGTCAATTCAAATTTACCAAGTAAATTATTTTTACAAATGAGGTAAAAGATCCAGTTATCGACACTGGCCTAATTATTGACCCTTTCAATATTATTTTAATTAAAAAAAACACATTAATAAATAGAATTTTTGAATTATAAATGTTAAGATAGTTAATTTTTCAAGAAGATTTTATTTTTTTAATTAGAATAAAATTGAAAGTGTCAAACAACTAGGCCAGTGACAATAACTGGGTCTTTTACTTTATATGCATTAAATATTACCAGAATTTTTTTTTAATTTATGCAGAGCAAAAATTTAAATTGTCAAAATTGAATGTATAGAATTATTATTATAATTAGTATTGAAAATTTCTTCTTTTTATTTAGAATAAATATAATTAAAAAATAGTTATTAATTTAACTGCAAAAAATAAAAATTTAATTTTGAAATGAATTGACTGAAAATAAAAATTTAATAAAAGAACCATTAAATTTGAACCTGATCAGGTTGCATAATGTAATTCAGATCATGTAATATTTTTTATGAGCACTTATATTTGCATGACCTTAAATTCGTAATGGATTGTTTAAAATTGTTTAAAAATGATAATTTATTAAAAACAAAGAATGGCCTTTGATAAAAATTGACTGAGTTTAATCAAAAAGATGGAAAATAAATTAAAAGAAAAAGTTTTTTGAATTGAAATTGGACCGAGCCGACACCTTGAGGTAACGGATTGAGGAGCGAGGTGCGTAGGTGTTCTGGTGTTGATAGTACGAGGGCTGTCGGTGGTGATGGTGGTGGTGATGATAATAGTTGTCATGATGATGATATTTGTGATGATAGTATTTATAATCATTGTCGGTAGCGTAGTTAGATCGGTAGCAGTTATCATGATGATCATGATATCGGTGATGACGGTCATAGTGGTTGCGGTGGTGAAAGTAGTAGTGGTGGTGGTGGTGGTGGTGCTTGTGGCGGTCCTGGGAGGGCTCTGCCAGCAATGGCTCTAGCTCGGGGCCGCGTTCCTCGCCGTTAACTACAACCCCAGACCCACCCACTCCCTGGCTACTCTCTCCGCTGCTCCCTAGTTTATCGTACTGATGAGACATCTTCCAGTTCACCTTTTTATTTCTGCAACACAATGAAAATTGTTAACCGATATTCTTCAGATCAGTTTTTTTTACTGTGACCCGTGTAAAAAAATTCTCCCAAAAATCTTCCAAGCTTCTAAAACTGTCCTAAGAGTTTCCAATGTTCAAATAAATTTTTTGTTTATCAAATATTAAAAAGATACTTTAAAAATTCTATAAAATATCCTTGAAATTTATTTTTGATTAATTTTTTAATTTAAAAAATACTTAACAAAACTCATAAAAAAAATGTTTAAAGTTAACTATTTGAAATTTTTTTTTGTTTTAAGCTTGCAAAATTTTTTGGAGAATTTTTTTTACACAAGAATTTAATAAAATAATTAATCTGAAAACTTATTGGGATGTATACAGACCTGATGCTTCGTTGACGTCGTTTCTGGGCTGGACCAAGCAGAGCCCCATAGACTCCTTCCCCATCAACATCATCAACTTCATCGACTTCTTCGTCATGCAAGGAGTCCTTGAGCTCCTGGGGCTTGCTGTTAAGGACTGGCTGCTCTAGACTGTTTAATCTGCTTCCATGGTGGTTATTACCACCGTGATTAACTCCGGCCATGTCCATCAGGCAGTTGAAGAATGTTGAATGCTGTTTAGTAATGTGTGAAATCCGTGTCAGACTCGTATCGGTTATTTTTATTTTTATTGATTATTGATTATCGTTTTTTTTTTGGTTTTTAATATTCAACGCATCACTGCGGTCCACTATACGAAGCACATACAGGCTTTTTTACCTTTACTTCTCCGACGCAGTTCCCTTTATTTATAATGCACTTTTTTACTTTTAAAAAAAATTAGATTATTTTAGAGAAGAAATAAATTTAAAAAAATGTGAAAAAATTCAAAAGTGATTCAATATTTTTATTATAAAAAATTTTCATGCTGTGTCGTAATTTAAATTAGTGCAATGTGGTTAGAATTTTATTAAAATTGGAAAAATAATTTACAATTAGTTAAAAAAAATATTAAAATTTTTAAATGCTTCGATAAAAAAGTTTTTTGTAAAATTGTGATTGATCAAAGCCTGTATATGTTGTATGTTAAGAAGAATTCTAAATTGACGTTTTAAGATTGAAAATTCAGAATTAGAGACGTTTTACTGAATCGTGGACATTATTGTGATACATATTTTATGTTATAATTATATATAGTTTATAACTTATAATTATAAGTAGTTGTTATTGTAATAATATAAACATTTGCACGGATGCAATTATTTAACATGCAATATTACCAAATTGTCAATTATAAATTGAATTTTTTATTAATTGATTGATTTCTTCTTGAAAAATTTTAAATTAAAAAATTATTGATAATTGACAATAAGTTTGTTATCGTTATACCAATACCGTTTATTGAAAGTTCAAATTCAGCTCAGCACGTACCATACCATACGATCATAATAAATGTAAACAAGCTCAACGGTCACTAACAGCCGGCGGTCATTCTTTTTTAAATAATATTAATTTATAATATTTAACAAACTTCACCCTATTTGGTTACATACACATTAAGAAAGAAGAAAGTTATTGATTTTTAATTTTAAATATTTTCTATTGATGTATACTGTAAATAGATAAATAAATAAATAAATAAATAAATAAATTCATTTCTTCACTAAATTATCCGTTTAAAAATATTTTTTTATGACTAAAATTAACATACATTTGAAAATTTTTATGAATTTTTTCAGTAAATTATAATGAAAAAAAAAAAAACATTTCTTTATATAAAAATTTTCTAATTTTATAAATGCAATTTTTTAGTGTGGATTTTTTTTAAGTCCAAAATTATTCAGATGTCTGCTAATTTCAGTATAATTTTTTTTTTTTTTAATAATTTGCAATTGTATTACTTATTAATCAATATCTTTCTTCAGAAACATTAATTATAACTATTATTAATCTATATTTTTACAACATGCCGACATAAAGTATGTGATTTGTGATTGTCTAAGTATCGAGTAGTGGTATCTTAATATTTACAGGATATAGTTACTCTGTATAATATACATTTAAGTAATTAAATTAAATTAAATTAAATTAAATTAAATCTTATGGTGTAATCGTGTGAATTAAAATATATCTTGTGTAAATTCAATTGTAGTATGTGATTACTGGTAATTTATAAAATACTGTGTAATTAAAAGGCTGTAGGGTTTTTTGTAAGCAACATCTAAGATCTATAACTAAGTTATGCAACTTTATACAAATATAAAGGTTAGTAAATAAAAATAAAGTTTTAAATTTTTTGATTAGATGCTCAAGTTCATTTTGGGTTGTAATATTTACAGACTACGAGTTTTGTAAGATTAAAAAAATACTGTAGGATTTGTTGGAAAAAAAATCTAAAGCCGCTTAGGCGGTTAATTCTAAATTTAGAAAAAGGGATTAAATAAAAGAGAAATTTTTGTTGTAACTAGTAATTAATAGTTAAGAATAATAATAATAGTATGAGGAAAGCTATCTAAGATTAAATGAAGATAGTTGTAATTGAAAAGAGGTTTTTTCTTAGAGGCAAAAGGCAGACTATTGATAAACTATTTTTACTCGGTTTAAAGCTACTGAGACTTCGACAAATATTTTGTCAAAGTAAAAAGGTACTTTTTCCGGTTTTAAAAATTAAAACACTTTGGTTTTACTTACACCACTAGATTTACGTTGGTCGCAAAGGAAGAACGGATGTACTAGATGCGAAAAGTCTTTACTTGACGCACTTTGTACTCACGTTCCATCGATACCAGATGTTTATATTTTGATTTTACAATTTTATTTGATACTCGACATTTTTTATTTAAAAATTTATAGAGAGATTTGGTTCTTAAAATTGTAAATTCAAAACGGAATTTTATTACAAGGAGACACTATGGAAAAATAAATTAATAAAAAATACATTGATGTAAATTCAATGTACTTTTTTTTATATATATCTAGATATATATATATATATATATATATTTATAAAGGTTACTAGTAATTAATTTATTATTAATCTAGTTTTTTAGTTAATAATATGTATACTGAAGTATTTCTGTTTGGTTCTAAGTGACTATTGTCTAATGTGAGTTATCTAATAGAGTAGTGCGGAGTTTTGTAACTACGGGAGGTGTTATGTGGTTTTGTGTAATCATTTTATTTGTAAAATAAAATAATTTAAAGAAAATAGAAGTGCGTACCCCAAAAATTTGGATTTTAAATTTATTTAATTTATTTTTTAAAATATTCTATTTCTTATTTTAAATTAAATTAATAATTTTTAATTTTATTAAATTGCCTTGAAATTTTTATTAAAAAAATTTTTTATGGCAAAATTGAAATTGTTTCTTTTATTAATTTTAATTTCAAGAATTTTTAGAACCAAGTTTTTTTAATTTTTAGACAAAAAAAATTTTGAGGTACGCAAAAAAAAAAAATAAAAAAAAATGTAAGTGTTTTGTTGACAAAATATATTAAGGGCTCTAAGAATAAATAAAAAAAAAAAAGGTGAAATTATAATAAATATAAGAAAAAAGAAGTGAGTTTTACTACCGCCTGGGCTGGAGTAGTTTGCCCGGCACTATCGTTATCGTTATCAGTCTGAAAGAATAAAGAAAAAGCTATACAGTTTGGGGCTTAGAGAAGTGTGATGATTCCTGTCATTTTCAGAATAGTATGTTTGAAGTTTTTCACAGCTAATTATCATAATTAATTATTATAAAAATTATAACTGTTATTCTACTTAAAAACTAGAGCCTAGATTGTCTTCGGCTAGTCCTAGACTTATGTTATTAATTATTTGTACTTAACACTTCACAAAAATCTATGTTAACAGTAATAAAATATTTTGTTAAATATTTTAGCCATACCTATTCACTTTAATCGCTTAATTTATTGTCTATTTTTTTTCTAGGCGAAAAATTTTGACCTAGTCTAATTTTAAATAAAAAAAATTATTAATATTTTCTGTTTTTAATAATTAAAAAAAAAATTCAAATTTATTTTAAAAATATTAATAATTTTTCTCTAAAATTCTATTATTAAAATAATGAAATATTAATCAGTTATTAAATAATAAAATGCTGACTTATAATCGAATAATTTAGGCACTACTTAGCACATAAATATATAATATCGAGGATGAGGATATAAAACAGAGGCTTCAATTAACAATGAATAATTCAGCAACAAATATGATATGATTTGTTGATAATAAATATTCAAAGTTAAGTGAATATTTAAATGATGGGTACTAAAAAGCTACTGGAGAGACTTGGGTTGCAAATTTTAATTATTCTTCTTATCAGTAAGTATTTTAACGATCAATTTCTACCACGAATAAGCTAACACCAATCACACGAGCTCACTAGTCATTAATTATTATTATAATTAATCAATTTTTAATGACTAATAAGCTTACTCCATTTTGGTTCTTAGTTCTGTTTTTTTTTTTTTTTTTTAATCAGAGTGAAGTAGAGATAAGACACAAAATGGAGTTACACGAATAAAAAATACACTCATACATTTATTTTAACAGTTACGGTTATTTATCAGATCACGGTTATTATCACGTTTGTTTTGTACATTAGGTAATGCTTTTTAAAAGACAGTTTTTAAAATTACGAGTATTTAATTAAGTGTTTTTTTTTTATTACGCACCTGGCCGCCTGCTGGTTCTATTTGACCAAACCTCGTTGTCTTCCAGTTCTCGAGGATCAACAGGCCAGCATAGATTTTACCAACAGTTAGTTTACCTTTCGATAATTCTAAAAAAACACATTTTTATTAGTTTTAATCTTATTTTTTAATTTAAGGTATTATAATTATTTATTTTTTTTCAGATAAAAGAACAGATTTAAAAAAAAAATTAAAAAAATGGTTAATTTAGAAAAAATAGTATAAATAATTATAATTTTAAATGAATAAAATAATAAATTAAAAGCAAATTACCAAGATCAGTTAGAATTTTCAGTGACATGCAGAAGAAAAGGTTGGAAAGTGTAAATTAAAAATAGTACAGATTAATACATTAGAAGAAATTTTTTTTATAAGTACATTTATATGGAAAACATTTTTAAAAACAAGTTTGGGTTGATAACACTTGTCATGCTACACTTATTGATTTTTTTTAAGTTTATTAATATTTAAGAGAACCATAAAGAAGAAATAACCTTTAAATTATTTTAGATACTTGATAAATTACTATTCAAAGTTCCACTTGGAAAAACTTATCTTTGGCAAGTTAACAATTTATTCAATATTAATAAATAGAATATTTAAATGCACTTTTGACTTTATGTTTCTCTCAACGGTTTAAAGCTTGAAATACATAAAACAACTTTTGGGTGAAGTATTTCTTATAAATATATCATTTGTAATCCTTCTTGACAAGAAGAGGAAAAAATTAATAGATTATTTTTAGATTTAAAAAAAGTTAAAAGAATGAGAAACTGGGGCAATTAATATAGACAATTGATACTTTCAATAAATGAAAACATATTTACCTTCTTTCCTAGGTATCAAAAGGTCTAATATTTTTTTCGCTTGCAATGGCCAAATAGCTCTAATTGTATCTTTTAATTCTTCATCAGCTTGGTCCATCTCTTCAGCTGTGAAAAAATTATAAATATTAACAATTATCAGCAAAAGGTGTTTCATTATTTTAAATTAATTATACCAAAAGGGTGTACAAAAATCTAGAAATGTTAAGAATGTAAAAATTTTATTGAAAATATGAGAAATAAAATTATTTTTAAAGATTTTTTGGCTTTACGATATTAAAAGGGGTGTCAAAAAAAATTTTATTTTTTAACTTTGTACTTTAAAAATTAAACATTTTTAATTTCTGGCTATAAAAATTGAAAAAAAAATTTATTTATCAAAATCTAGCTGACTTCAATAATTTTGAAAATAATTATTGAAAATATTTTCAATTTTTACAGCCAAATATTCAAAATGAACAAAGTGACAATTAAAAACTTACCGACTCTCATTTTGATACTGAGATTTTCTCTAATCAAGGCAAAGAGTGTCGTTGTAAAAGCGACTTTACACTCATCATCAACAGGCATGTTCATCCTGATGAGTTTTTTATAGGCTAATCTATTGGGACATTTATTCCCGAACCCAAGAGGCGGATCCATATTTTTTAACATATCATACATTTCTGAAAAATGGATCCTACCCGTTGCGTTCGGATCATATTCTGCCCAAATTCTCACAAACTCATCGAGATGATGAGCTCCGAGAATAGATGAGTCGCGAGTGAGGTAGTCGAAGTTGTCCATGATAACGGCGACAAAGAGATTAAGCATCAGAAATGAACAGAAAAATATAAACGATACAAAATAAGCATAAGCTAGATTCGATCCGCAGCCCTCGGAATCTTGCTTTGCTCTAGGGTCGCACTTCCGCTCTTTTATACACGATAACATTATACTCGGCCAGGCTTCACCCGTTGCACACCTATCAAAACAAAATTATCAGTAATTCATTTTTGAAATTTAAAGTTAAGTTTAAAACATTGTAATAAATTAAAAAAGGGGATGATTTTAAATGATTCAATCTTTCTCAATAAAAATAAATTCTGCTGTGAATTATAAGTTTTTTTTTTATTAAATAAAAATTGAAAAATGCGTATTTAGAAGTTTTTAAAATTTATTTGACCTTTTTCTTTAGTTTGATATAACAAATAAATTTTAATATTAAAAAAAAAATTGCATCAATATTTTTTTTTTTGATTTTTACAAATAGCAATTTTTTTTTAAATGATCTCTATAATAATTTATTTATTTATTTATTTATTTATTAAGAAATTGTATTAATTGCTACATGTGTTTATCAAGACTTAAAAACAAAATAATCTTTATAAAGATTTCAATGTTCTAAAGTCAAATTTAAAAATATTTTTGAATCTTTTATAAAAAAAATTTTTATAAAGAAAATCTTCAATACAATAAATAAAATAATAAATATTTTAACTCCAATAAATTAATTTTAATTTTGAAATGATTAAAAAATTGTAAAAAAAATGTATCAATGAGTTATATAATTTAAATAAAAAATTTTTAAAGTTTTATTTTATTTAAAATAATTAATTGTATGTTAAATGTTGCTGATTTAATTTTAATGTCATCCCCCTAGTGATAGGATTATTATTTATGTACCTAAGATACTTGAATAAAATGAATGAATGAATAAAAAAAATACAATACAAATACTGACAAAATTAATTTTTTTCTTTCAAGCAAGCATTGGAAAAACTTACCGAAATAGTAACATTAGACCCTGTATAAAGCTTTGAAAGTTATTATGCTCATATATCGAGGTCTCTGGATCCAGCGCAATATTTCCAAAAACCTGTACCAATCAAACAAGCGACAATGATAATAATAGCTGTTACTTAACTCCTTACATCAACTATCAACTGTTAATTAGAGGGCAGAGTAATAATTCAATACCGGGAACCGGATTACTAATTCTAGCAGTTTACTTCTAATTATAGTTATCAATAATCAATAATTATAATTGTAATTGGCAACTAAATATCATTGTAGGAGCGCCGAGCAGCTTACTGGCAGGTAATTACACATTATACCATTTTGCCGCTCGACTCACCGAAAAAGTAACATCAGGCTACTGATGAAAGACTGAAAATTATTGTGACTTTCTATTGCCGTCTCTGGATCATTCGCTATGTTTCCAAACACCTGATAAGTTTTGTTTTCATTTATTTATTTTATACTTTTGGGAATTAATTAATTAGTTATTAAGTCGCCTAATTGACTGTTTGAGGAATTAAGACATTACCTGCATTCCTATAATTGCGTAAATGAAGAAAAGCATCGCTATGAGCAGACATACGTAAGGCAGCGCCTGAAGAAAATTTGGAATTTAGCAAATAGTTAGAAAGATATTTATACATAATTTTAAGTATAAATACCTTGAAGGATTGTACGAATGTCCAAAGTAAAATTCGTATTGTATATCCTTGTCTCAGTAATTTAATCAGTCTAGCGGCACGAAAGAGCCTAAGACACCCGACGTTGATGAAATTTTCCTGCAGGAGACAAAGAAAATTACACTTTTTAAAAAAGCAAAATAATTATCTCTTATTTTTAATAGTCATTTACTTCGAGCGTGCATCTAGTATCATTAACATGTTTATTAAATTATATTATGAGGATTACTTTTGAACTGAAAAAATTAGTGGTATTATGTACTGTTGTATTAATGTGTACTTTTAGTGTAATGTTTTGTCTGTCAGTTTTTTTGAAAATTTATAAAAAAATTATACGGTCCCAGTAACTCGTCGGAAATTGGCGCCCAATTTCATGGAATTTTTTTAGTTCTTCAGTAACAATCTAACAACATAGTAGATGAAGTTAGATATATTTTTCACTTTCAAAAAAAATTATAAATATTCTGAAGAAAATAATTATTAATTATAGGAAAGAAGTTCTACTTTACCAGTTTTTTCCCATCTGCGGTTATGCGTATATCGCCCTTAAATTTATACAATTATATGTTAAGTGTGTAATATGTGTTGAATATGTTTATATAATAAATTGGCAAAGAAGCAAATGTCGGCTCTACTAGAATAAATTTTTTTTTATTAATAGATTTAAGTAGAATTATAATATCAAGCAGATTATATTAATTTTCGTCATATATGAAAATGTAAGTTCAATGAACTTTAATCATAATTATATTACCAACTTTGTATACTGATAAAAAAAATTAATTAGATTAAAAAAAAATTTTGAACCAAAAACATTTGTTTCGAATCAATATCAAAAATTTTTGAATTAAGCAACAACTTTTCTGTTTTATTAAATTAAGACTTTTGTTAAATTGTACTGTACTTTCTTAACTATTGACATTTTTAAAGATATAAGCTCATCCCGATGTTACACTCATCAAGACCTTTCATTTGAGTACCCACATGCATTTTTGATATATTTTTCATACATATAATATATATAAATATATGAAATATATGAAAAATTGATGTGGGTACTCAAATGAAAGGTCTCGACGAGTATAATGTCAGGATGAGCTTATATCTCTAAAAATGTCAATAGTTCTCAAGATACAAGGTCGTTTCTTAATTAAATATCTAGAGATAGAGAATTTTTGAATACTTATCATAATAAATTAACTATCGGTGAGAATATGAAACTTAATAATATAGATGATTAAACTCAAAAATCATGTTTTTGGTTCAAAATTTTTTCATTTGAATCAAATTAATTTTCATATCAATATATAATTTAAAAGCTTAATTAATTACAAATTCTAATTATAAAAGCGGTCATTTAAAAATCGCTTCTGCTAATTGTAAGCTTGAGCTGCTGATATTTTTAGATCAAATTAAATATAAGTTCGCATATGAATTGCGTTTGCTCATATGAAACCATGCGCGCGTTTTAAAAGCGGGCATATGTGAGCCCTACATGGAAAAAAATTCGATTCTGTATCAGTGTACATATGCTATATGTAAAGAATTTCAGGAATTAGATACAAAACTTATTTTTCCATGTTTGTCCACATACGCTTACTACGAGCAAATACAACCCATATATGAAACACACAGGTTATTTCTCAAAATTACACACGATTGTTTTCCAAATGTGTTGTTTAGTGTATGTAGTATTTAGTATTGTGTAGATACTTTTATATACATACAATTTACCGGTAAAATTATAAAGAAATAGCAAAGTTGAATTAGTTTTAACTGAAAATTGAAAGCTGATTGCTAAAACCACTCAACAAAAATGAAAATTTCTTCAGTAATAAAATAAAAAAACCATTTAATAGCTGTTAAATAAACTCGATGCATGAACGAAGCTCCAAAGAAATCCACTTAAAATTAATAACAATAAAAAATAAATTTTAAAAATAAATAATCAAGCAAATTAATTAAACTTACCCCGAATTCAACGACCAGAGCGTCCACGATACTTCCGATAACAGTAATGAAGTCGAATGTGTTCCACGGATCTTTGAAGAAATTCTGTTTCATGAAAAAGCAGATATTAGTAAACAGCAAAAGTAAAAATTGCAATTGTAAATTCACTTGAGTTTTTAATTTTAACTTTAAAAAAAATAAAAACAAAACTCAAGCGGATTTACTTTAAGTAAAGAAAAGCACAAGTAAATGCACTATAGCTCTAATTGCGCATATAAACAGCATTTTAATTTAAAAAATGAACCAAATCAATAATAATAATAATAATTAATATCATCATTATTATTAATTGTAAAAAATTCCACGAGTATGATCGTGTTGACTTGTGCGTGTGCTTCTTTATAAATATGTGTGCATCATGTGTGTCGGTGTGCTTACAATAAAATATTTCTATGTACAATAAAGTGTTCGATGTGTTCCTTATGAAAAAATTTCGTCAGTCTATTTTGTTACTCAACAGAATAATGGTTTTACATATAATAAATATCATTTGATTGATTTATAGTTTATCTAGCAAGTGATTTATTTATTTAAATTTATTTTAAGGAGCTCGCTAATGTTTTAAATCTACAGGAGCATGCCAGTGGTAGCAAGCAACTAGTAGAAAGATTCATTATCCGGGCTTTGTATACAATAATAATAGTAGTATAGTAATAGTAGTAATAATAATAACAATAATAGTAATGATAAATATCAAATAATAATATTAGTATTTTTATTATTATTTGTATTGACTGCAAGTTGCTAATTAAGTTAAATTAAAGGTCTACAGAAAGTAGGAAAGACTAAATAAAATGGACTCGGTTAGCCGGTCGTTAACATTTTTTATCAGAGACACGGTAGTGCCTCGAGCCAAGTGCTATAGTATAGTCTCTTCGCTGATTGCTTCTTCTCGTTCTAATCACCACTGATGATTATCGTTGAGTAATAAATTAATTTTTTATTTAATTTGTATATTAAAGTTGTTGATTTTTTATATTAATTGTGTAGATTGTGAATTAGTGATTTGATTAGTCTTTTTAGTTGTACCTTGCATCCAAAGGCGATGATTTTAAGGATGCACTCAATGAAGAAAAGAAGAGTGACGACTATGTTCACAATGGTCAGGCTGTCCAACAGAACCGGAGGCGCCTCGTGATACTATAAAATATATCCAACATGGCCGTAGCAAATCCAAATAGTAAGGCTAGTTTTTAGTTTCTATTTTGGATTTTAGTTTTATGGTTTTCTTTTTTTACATTATTTTTAGGCTTGATTCTTCTCCGAGCCCGTACGCTACCTCAATTAAGATTTCTTAAGATTTCTACGGGGGTTTTCTAATATATTAATATAACTAGTCGATAGGTTTCGCGACTATAGTCACTATATAGTTTCGTTCAATCCCTAATAGAAAAGAATAAACATAAAGTAATAAAAAAAAGTGATAATGATTGAAATGAGAAATTTTTTTTTAGTAAGAATCGGTGATTAACTTTTTTTAGGTACCGACATACAGATGCAGTTTAAATGTTAGTTTTCATGCCGACATTTACAGTGAAAGGATAACAAACATCTTTCACGGAACCAGTCCATACTCAAGTCAAAATGATCGTGTGTCTATCGATAAATATTACATCGTAGTCCCCCATGAAAAAAAAATATATTTTTAATATATTAAAAATCTATAAAATATATAGAAATTATGTATAGTAAATATATTTTTTTTATATTTTTAGATATGTATTTTTTATGCATTTTAAGATATATTTTTAATATATAAAATATATATGAAAATCGGCCAAAAGTTAATTATTAAAAATATATTTACTATACATATTTTTTATAGAATTTAAAATATATATATATTTTTTTTTTCATGGGAGGTAATAATCATAATAATGATAATTTATATTATAACTAGATTAGTAAACAAATAAACGTGTATGCCATGCGGGAACTACATGCTGTGTAACGCGTGCTAAAATTTAGCCATGCAGGGGCGTATAAATTTTGCCTAATGTTATTTTTTTAGTTTGTTTTTGTATTTTTGATTGTAAGGGCCATTAAATTTCTAAGTGTCAGTAAATTATTGTTTTGTGTTGTCTTTTGATATTTTTTTATAATTTTAACAATCAAGTATTAATTTAGACACTTTAAAATTTAAAATTAAAATTACACACCTCAAAATGTTACTACTTTTTTTTATAAAAATTTTTTAAGTATTAAATACTTGATTGTAAAAATAGCTCTAGCATTTTCAATTGTTTTTTTTTTTTTTTTATAAAACAACAATTGCTTAAAATATTCTTATAAAAAAATTAGCTAGCGATTTTAAAAATAAAACGCTCTATGATTTTTTCTAAGGAAGCGACTTACCAGTCTTAAAAAAAATTGTCATTGCGTTTTAAAAATTAAGAATTTTATTTTTTCAAGTGTAAAAACATTTGTAGTAATTTATTAATTTTTTTAGATATTTAATTATCAATTATTGTTAATTTATAAAACACAATGACGGTAAATTCTACGAGGCTGAGCCAGCAAAAGCTCTTTCAAAAAAGGATTGTTCCTTTTTTCAAAATATATATATCATTTAGTTAAATAAATTTCTTTGTTGGGGGAAGGGAGCTTACTTTGACGCCGAAAGCGGCGATCTTCAGAGTGCACTCGATGGTGAACATCCCAGTGAAGCACATGTTCATGTACTTTAGTATGGCTTTGTACACTTCGCCCTGCTTGTGGTACTGCAATGCACACATTGACAAACACACGGCCGACAGACAGCAAACATACATACGGACATACAAGCCTACGTGTTTCCCGATTTTACTTCATTATATTTTTTTTTTTTTTAATTCAGATTTTTTTTCTCAAATTACGTCAATGCTGATTATCAACATTTGTTCATGTGTTCATTAAATAACGTGCGGCTGTGTGTACGTATATGTAATTATAATAACTAATAACTATTATTAACAATAATTTAATTATAATAATATAATATAATTATTCATTTCCGATATTTTATTTTCTTAATTAACAATAATTAAATTCATGAAATTATCTGCGCTTATATTATTAAATTTAAATATTCGCTGGTAGTTTCAGTTAAAAAATTTTCAGTTAAAATTTTTTAACTCAAAATACTTGTGTAAAAAAAATTTTTATAAATTTTAGACTTTTTTTATAAGAAGAAAAATACAAGAATTTTTTCATATGAATAAAAACGTTTACAATAGTAAAATTTTAACTTTTAAACTTTTAGTTTTGTCATAAAAAAATTACCAACTTTTTTGAATGACTTTATTACTAGAAGTTAACTTTTGGGTTGAATTGTAAGCGTAAAAAAGTTTTTAGAAACTAAAAATTGCCTTTTAAACACAAAATTACTTCATGTGTGGCATTGCGACATAACATGTGTACTTCAAACTTCTTTATGTTAAAATTAAATGTGTCACGAACGATAAAATAATCGATAAAAAATTTTATATAAAATTATACTAAAGTTAGCCGACATTTTTAATTTTTTGATTTTTTTTCAATAGTTAAATTAGAGCAAAAAAATATTTTTTAAAAATTGCACATACAGTTTTTCAAGTTGTTTACAAATGAAATTTTTTTTTATAATAATTTTTTCAATAAAAAAAAGTTCTAAAAATTTTTAGATGTCGGCTAATTTAATTTTCATAATTATAAATTATAAATTTATAAAATTTGATATAAAGTATGTTTAAAAAATACTATTTAAATTAAAAATAAAAATTTTTATTATAGATTTATTCTTTGCCGAACATTTTTTATGACTTTCCTGTTAAAAATTTCTAAATAATTCATAATTTAAAATTAAATTTCAATAAAAATTTTTTAAAAAAATAATCGTCTAAAATTTGAATTAAAAAAATTTTTCTTACACCTGTTACCACTAAAACTAAGAGTGTAATGTGTGATACAAGTGTCTGTAACTATAACTGTGATACTTGCACTATTATCTTGGGATAGTGAGTGCTATATCATTTCAGCTATAGATGTGTCATATAATGATCAGTATAATTAATTAATAAATCAATATATTATATACACCTGATAAATTATAGATATAAACTAAAAATAATCTGTGACTTTAACTGACTGATTTAGAATTTAAAAATAAAATTGACAATTGATAATTTATTAATAAGTTTGAGATTGGGAAAATAAATCCGAGAGGAATGGATCAGGATTATTTTTTTCATCTTTTCTTTTTAACAAAAAATATTTTTTAACAAAATTATTATTCGTTGGCCGTGCGAACGCCCGTGCAAAAATATAAGATTCGTATAATATTCAATTAATTAGTGATTTTCGATAAACATTTTAATCATATTATATGATTAATAATTTTAACATTAATAAAAGTGTATTTCGGAGGTAAACTGTAGTTTGTATAATATAATATATAAATTCGTTATCTGCAGCAGCCAGCATGCGACACGCAGCTTTTGTTTAATAATAATAATAATAATAATAATAATAATTAATTGTGTGAAATTCGTGCATGAACGAGCATGTTAACCTTGTGACGTCTAGCTTCACTATTATTTATTAAATTTAAATGTTTAAATAAAAATATTGTTATATAAAAAACATTCTCAGTGCTTGCTTGCATTGTCATTACATTCTTAAAAGATTTTTTAAAAAATAGTGAGGACTGTATCTGTTATTTAATATTAATATTAATTGTTAATTGGATTATTGATAATAAATTGATGATTAAGTGACTTGATAAGTTAATACTCATTGATTAAATGACGTAAAGCGAGCGAGGCAAAGCGGTGTAATTAATCGAAACGTACCAAGGTGATTGGTGATTGTTCTTGCACGAAATTCAATCAGTAGCTGATGATGCGTGATAGAACTGGTGCTTATTTAATGTTATTTTAATTTTATAAATATTGTTTAAATATGTGTAGGTGTTAGTTAAGTTATTATAATAGTTAATTATGTTTTAGAGAACAATAAGGGTTGTGCGTGTGCATGTGCGCTTTCACATAACAATTCCCATTGTCAGGCAAATAAACCGATAATTATAACATGACCCAACAAGTGATTGGTGCGAACTTTGATAATTAGTTTATTATTTTGAGATTTTTTTTTTTTTGAGAAAAAATGGTACAAATTAATTAAAATGCCAACTTTCTGATTTTTTTGAATAAAAATTTAATCATTTTTTCTCAAATTATAAATTAAATAATTTATCCGATTAAAATTAAAACTTAGATTATAATATAAATTGTTAAATTTTTTTTAAACGTTCGGACAAATTATTCAAGCGCGCAATAAAAAAGTGCTGAGTGAATGAAAAAAAATTTATTCGGTGCATATAAAAACGTGAGGGTTTGTTAATTTATTAATTTACTTATTTTAGCAGTGAGATTATATTATATCATTCATAATAATATTTTTGCATAAAAAGTGTGCCAGTTGTAGATAGACAACGAAATTAGGACACGATGCTAGCCATGCATTGGGTGTCAAAAAAATATCTATTAGTGACGGAAACACGCCAGAGATTCTTGTAATATAAATTAATTAATTAATTAATAACTAACTTAAGTTATGAGTATAAATAAATAAAAGCTCGTAACTACTATTTTTTTTTACTAAATAAATTTTTAAATATCGGTAAATGTATATCATAAATCAGTGAGAAGCTCCGCATCGTTCGCACTAATCGCGAGCGTATAAGTGTCAAATAAATTTATATTTATATTAACATTAATTAATATAAACCCAGAAATTTTAGTTTTAATTTTAAAGTATCCAAAAAAATTTTTTAATTTTTATAATAAATATTTAAATTAATTTTTCGGTAAACGGGATTGAAAAAGAAAAGATGATAGGTGATATGGTTTATTATTGTTTGTATTGAATAAATATGCAACGGAAGGACAAAAAGTGATCATTGATCATATATATATAAATATAAAAATAAATACAACGAATCTCTGGTTATAAAAAAATATAAAAAATATTTTAATTGAATTTTAATTCGAATCCTGATAATTTTTTATGGGAGGGAGAAATCACACTTTTAATTATTAATAAATTTTAATTATCTGACAATAAAACGGGCCCGGATTATTTTGTCGAGTTAAAGGATGGTAGGGGAGATTAATAGAGAGAGAAGTTATTTATTCGCTCTGATGTATTATTATTATTAATTAATAATCATCTGCGGAATAAAATATCTTCTCGTTCTACCGTCAACATAGAGCCTGGAGAAAGATTTATTTTATTTAATCCTGACGGCAAAAATTAGGTTTGATTTATGATTTATGACTCTAGTTTGATTTTATATTATTATTGTCAATATTTATTATTTATTGTTATATTAATAATACTGAAGTATAGTATTATTTTATTATTATATTATATTATTGAGCTAGATGGATTAAAATGGTGGATTAATTAGATATTCTAGAGAGTTAGTGAATAAACTTTCTGGCTTACCTTCATCATGAGCAGAAGAGTATTCAAAACGATGAGAATCATGATGAAATATTCAAATGGCGTTGACACTACTATTTTCCATATTTTGTACTTTACACTATTCCGCTTGTTCGGCATATACCTCTCGAGAGGTCTCGCTCCTATTGTAAAATCTATACACGATTTCTGGAAATTTATTTTACTGGTTAGTGATTAATTGAATTATTTAAAATTTTTGAATTATTGACTTTCATTTTTCAAGTTAAAAAGTCAATAATTTGCATTAGTAACGCTAATTAAAAAAGTTTTTGTGGAAACTAAGAAGATATACCTGATTTTTATCAATTTCACCGTCCTGCAATTCAGCCTCACCTTGCTCTTGAAAAGTAATAATAATTAAAGCGACGAATATGTTTACGAAGAAGAATGGAAATACAATGAAGTATACAATGTAAAATATGGACATTTCGATACGGAAATTGTGAATAGGACCTTCGTCCTCGTGAGTTGCTGCCATAGAATGTTGAAGAATTTGCGGCCAACCTTCGCCGGTCTGCACGGCAAATAGCGTCAACATCGCCGCCATTACGTTATCATAATGAAAGCTTTGTGGCTGCCATATTCGTTTTCTCGCTTGAGGCAGTGATGAGTCCTCCTCGAAGACAAAATACTCACCCCTGTTTCAAGTTATTAATCGAGTTAGTATTTATTATTCATTTTATTAAGTACCCGCGAGTAATGAGGCCTATCTTTAAAATATATATTATATGTCTTACATAATTAAGAAATTACCTTTTATCTTGTGAACTATTGACATTTTTAAAGATATAAGCTCATCCCGATGTTACACTCATCAAGACCTTTCATTTGAGTACCCACATCAATTTTTCATATATTTCATATATTTATATATATTATATATATGTATATATAAAAAATATATCAAAAATGCATGTGGGTACTCAAATGAAAGCTCTCGATGAGTGTAACATCAGGATTAACTTATATCTTTAAAATATATACTATATATATTACATAATCAAGAAATCACCTTATATCTTGTGAACTATTGATATTTTTGAAGATATAAGCTCATCCCGATGTTATACTCATCGAGACCTTTCATTTGAGTATCCACATCAATTTTTTATATATTTATATATATTATATATATGTATATATGAAAAATATATAAAAAATGCATGTGGGTACTCAAATGAAAGGTCTTGATGAGTGTAACATCGGGATGAACTTATATCTTTAAAAAAGTCAATATTTAAGAATGTACAGTGCAATTTAACAAAAGTCATTATTTAATAAAGCTAAATTTTAGTTATTTATCTTTTTTTGTTAATATTAAAAGGAAGAGAACTCATATAATGATAAATGTCAAAATTTAATGTTTAAGTTATATATTTTTGATCTTATCGTATTTTCATCTAGGCCTCATGACCCGCCGGTACTTAAATTGAATGTAAAATAAAATACTGAAAAAGGTACATACTGGCAATCTTCTTTGGTACGTTTACTTTCGTCGCTACAGTAGAAAAATTTACCATTGAACAACTGTACTGCTATGACGGCAAAGATGAATTGAAACAATATATACACGATGAGAATGTTAATGACGTTTTTTAAACTGTTAACGACACAATCAAACACTGCTTTAAGTTTCGGCACACGTTTTATTGTTTTTAATGGTCTTAATACTCGTAATACACGAAGTGACTTAATAGTTGATAAATTTTGGCCCGCGGATTTACCCGATAGCTCAAAACCCATTGAAACTCCGGCACATATTACAACCACTGCGTCCATAATATTCCAGAACTCGCGTAAATACGAGCCGGGATGGAGTATGATACCCAGATCAATAACCTTGAGTATCATCTCTATCGTAAAGACGCCCGTGAATGCATAATCAAAGTAATTTAATACTGTGTTACGTGGCGAGTTTTCATCAACTGGGTCCTCTGTCGCGAGTGCTATACTTGACAAACATATCACGACCATTATGAAAAAATCAAAATACCGAAGGTTAACGACCCAATGGGCACCTCTCCTTACACTGAAACATAAAATTTATACTTGTTTATAAAATTCTCTGACGAAGAAATCTCCAAAATAAGACACCATTTTTAAAATAAATTCATCCAAAGATTTATTCATATTTTTACTATTTTTAAAGGCAATTATCGAAGCGACTTATACTGAAACTCTTGAACTAGATCTTTTGTTTTACTGTAAATTGTTCGGCAAGAACCACTTGCACAGAAATGCAATATAAATTGCAAGTTTTGTTGGCAATATTTACATCAAATTGCCTCAATACAAGTATTGTAATGTTTTATTCAATAAAAATAAATTGTACTATATTTACTGTTAAAAAAAAAAAAGTTATTTTTTTACTAAAAGGGTCAAAATTTTAAAAATCTTTGAAATAATTTTTTACAGTGACTTATTTTGTTGAATTTCTTTAAAAAAAAAAAAAAATAATACAATTATGGTATATTCAATAAAAAAAAATAAAAATCTTATAATTATAACTAAAAAACAAGATTTAACTTTGAAAGCCTTTAACCCCAATAATCCTTAGCACACAAAAGATTAACCCAAAATAATAAACACGATAGTATAAATATATATTTACGGGTTTGTCGGAGATAATATAAACATGGAGGAGTATGGCAGCATTGGTTTTGGTCCCGTGTCTTCGTCGTCCTCCTGTTTTTTCTCTTCGGACGCCTGTTTCTCTCCTTTACCACTTCTGCAGAAAAAGTAAATAGTTGTAGCTGTTATTTGATGGAATAAAATAAATAATTTCTATTGCCGAAATATTAAGCCTCGAGGGCTGGCAAATACCGTTTTATTCGTTTTATTATGTTTGATATTTATTTAATACATATTTTTACGGCGAAATAAAAGAGTTATACATACAAATTTTGCGACGAACTAGGCGGCGATATTTCAACTTTTGGGCCCGTGCCGTCAGGCATTTGCAGCGCCTCCATTTCCTTTTCGAGTTCCTGCATTTGTTTCTCCTTGTCCTCCTCCTCTTGACCCTCTTCAGCGGCTGTTAACTCTTGTGCGTTCGCCAAATTATCGACAGCGATAGCCAAGAATACGTTGAGCAGGGTGTAGTTACCGAAGAGCACCAGGACGATGAAATACAGGGAGTAAATCATCCCTCCTCCTTTGTGGCCACCCTGAGATTCGATTCCTTGATACATTACCTCATTCCAGTCCTCACCGGTCAAGATCTGGGCAATTGTTGTTGATAAATTATTAATAATTGGTTGAAAAAAAATTAACTTGATTTTCAGAGAGGATTTTTGAATAAAGATAATTATTTTGAAAAATTTTGGTACGTTTTAAGTGAAATTAATTTTAAAATAATATTTTTAAAAATGTTAATTTGAGAGAAGTAAACTTAATAATTCAACTGAGTTTTTTGTAATTTTGATAAAAAGGATTTTTTTTCTTGAGCATACAATAATTTAATGTCAGTCAGATTTTTTTAAGGATTCAAAATAATAATTAGAACCGAGTGAGACAAAATAAAATACTCACTTGGAAGACAGTTAGCAGCGCAATGGGAAAAGTATTGAAATTGGTCGGCGGTGTCCCCGTGGAAAAGTTAAATTGCCCGCCAAATAGTTGCATGCCGAGTAAGGCGAATATGAGGATGAAGAGGAAGAGAAGGAACAAGAGGGAAATGATGCTGCGCATCGAGTTGAGCAGCGATATTACGAGGTTCCTCAGACTCGCCCAGTATTTAGTGACTTTGAATATCCTAAGGAGTCGAAGGGCACGCAGGACGGAGAGACCGAATGAGCCGGACTTTACCGCCGACCAAATTACTTCAAATATCGAGCCGCAGATTACCACGCAGTCGAATCTATTGAAACTCGATTCGAAGTAGATGCGCGGTCCCAGGGCGTACACTTTTATGAACATCTCGCACATGAACAGCCCCAGAAATACGAACTCTGTGTGATCTGCAATCAATAGTTAAGGGTAGTTATTATTTTTATTTTTGAATCTTTAGAGCCAAAAGGCCGCTTAAAAAAATTTTTTTCTCCAATCTCAACTTGAAAATGTGTATGAAGAAATTCTTAAAGCCTCAATTTAAATTCTTAATAAAAATTTTGAATTATTCTAAAAATTATTGAAGGCAGCTAGATTTTTGGAATCAAAGTTTTTTCTTCAATTTAGACATTTTGGTATCCCAGGAGTCTTTTCTTTTTTTTTTAATTTTCAATTACTGTCGCTAAAAGTTCAAGCCCTTTAATATTTAACACGTCCTTTTGGCTTTAGGAATTTTTTTATTGAATAAAAAAATTTTTTCATACTCCTTTTTGGCATTAGTAATGCGATTTATGAAAAAAAAAAAAAAAAAAATATTAATTAAATAATTAAAGGGAAAACTTACAAAGAAAATCACTAAGCCACTGTGGTTGATCGTAGTGTTCAACAGCAACGCACACTGTGTTAAAAAACACAAGGACAATGACAAACCAGTAGAATGACTGCGTTTTAACAGTGTGCCGTATCCAAAACCTAAATCTCTTCTCAGCACGCCAGAATTGAAGGCAAGCGCCCTGGTTCTTGACCCTCGACCTGAGATACGAAGCTCTCGAGAACCCTACAAAAGCATACACTCATCTTTAGTCGTTCATCCATCGAACGTGCCACGTTGCTAGATTCTTTATTATTATTTTATTTAATATTAGTTTTTAAATAAACCAAATTTTAGCTCGCTAAATTTCGCCACCATACAATTTATTTTATTGCTTCTTTTATTTTTATTTTTTATCAATAAGAAAAAAACAAGTTACTTGAAAGTTTAAGCAATGCGAAAGAAGAACACTGGTAGAAGAATTTTTATAATTATCAAAATATAATTCACACAGAAAATATAAGATTAATTTGAATCAAGAACATTTTGGTCTTCAAAAATTTGTTTTTCTTAATTTAAAAAATTTTTTAAATTAATTATATTAAAAAATTTGAATTAAGAAAATGATTAGTTAATTTCTTTGCTACCGTCGGTAATCGGTAGTTTCTCATTACACGGTAGTTCGTAGTTGGGTTTAAGAATAGCAAAGTAAGTTCGAGTTGCCATGAGCCGCAGTGGCGAAATTGGTAACGCGCCATAACGGTTTGTAGACTGTAAACTGCTAACATCTCTTTCCCTATGCTATAAAGAAGCCCTATGGCATAGGAGCTCTGGGTCTGAACGGCCGCAGTCCTGGGGAAGGTAGTGGACCAGTCTAGTGCCGAGGGGATGGCGATCTCTCTGTGCTTCCTTAGTAATAATTATAATAAGAACAATAGTACTAAGCCAGCACCTTGAAGTTTGAAGTGTGAATGCACGTTTGAATGGAAACATATTGAGATTAACTGTCCCTTTGAGCTCCCCGGCAATCTGGAGTTCTCGGTTCGAATCCGAGCTGCGGTGAATTTTTTTTTTTTTATTTATTACTGTTAATTTTTTTTCTTTTTTTTTTATTATTAATATTATTTATTATTGTAAATTTTGTTTTTAATAAAGCAAAAAATTATTTTAATTAAATAATAGATTAATGTTCTGATTTATTAATTTTGAAGTAATTAAAATATCTCTCTTAATTTTAGACATTTTAAATATTTAATGTTTGATTGAAAAAATAAAAAAAAAAACATTTATTTAAAAATAATTTTAAATTGTTTAATTATTTTAAATTTTTAATGTCAAAAAATTAATTTAATTTTCTTGATTCAATTTATTCTTTTTTTCTGTTAACATTATTATAAATTATTATCATTATTATATTATTTAATTAGTAAATTCTTCTATCAGTAAAAAAGTGAATGAATGAAATTGAAATGTAGGTTTAGTAACGACTTTACTGGCTTTACTTGGCGTTATCAAATCACTTGGCTCAAATATAATAGAAAGATTAAAGCTAAGCAAGTGTAACTTTAAAACTGACGCCCCGTAAAGCCGCAAAAGAGCTTCTACGGCAGACTTTATGGAAATTATTTTTCTTTAATTTTTCTAGATCAACAAGAGTTAAAATTCTATTTTTAAAAATTTAATTTTAAGAATTATCAAATATTTAAGATTAAGATTTCTAATTTTAAGTTGATTATTAAAATAGTTAATTATTAAAATTACATTGCTAGTAAACTTAAGCACGGCTAATCTATTATTGAGTTCTACAAAGCGGGATCTACATTCGCTAATACAATTCCATTTAATTAATTAATATAAGAAAAAAAATAACTAATGCTGAACGCGCTTAATATAAACTATGGATTTTATTTATAACGAAGCTTTTTACGGGGAAGTAATTTATGTAGTTAAAACTTGCTGGCTACGTAAGTATTCAATTAATTAGAAATAGTAATTAATTAGTAAGTAGTAATTAATAATTAACCAATCCACTTTGACAACGCTAGTTCACTAAGTCGCTAATAACAATAATAATAATAATAATAATAATAATAATAATAAAACTAATTTATCTATCTAAGTATTCGCTAGTTCAATTACACTTTAGTGTCTTTAAAGTTCTAACTTCAGCGTTGCCCCATAAATGTCTGCCATCGTGTCTAAACCATTAAAAGTATACAAGTACATGATAAAAATACTCGCTGCATTTCATATTTTTATGAAAATATTACTTTTTTTTTCTGGGAAAAATATTTTTAATTTTTTTTTGTTGAAAAATTCGAAATTTAAAAATTACTGACTGGTTTAAAAAATTTTTAAGAGCTAATTTATATAAATTGTTGATAAGTCTATTGAATAATTACAAAAATTAATTAATTAAAATTTCTAATTCTAAATTAACTAATTTTAATAAATAAATAAAATTTAGTTTTCTAAAAAATAAGAACTGTTTCATTACATTAAAATGTTAAAAATATGCAAAAGATTTTCTGGAAAAAAAAAAAAATAATTTTTAATCTAAAAATAATTAAATTAATCTAGTTTTATGTAATAGTAAAAATTGTTAAGTTTCAAAAATTAGAGTTTTACTTCTGTGTAATTTCTAAAGAAAAAAATCGTTAGATAAATCTAAACTAAAAAATAATTTAGAAAATTATTAATTGAATATTATATCAAAATTTTAGTCAGTAATTTTTAAACTTATTTAAAGCTGTCCTATTTAATTTCAGAATACAATAAATTTACAATTTCAATTGATAAAAATTTGATTTATACAGTAGACAAAAAGTTTTTAAAGAAAAAAACTCCAAATTGTTTACTTCAATTAATAAAAAAACCGAATCGAAAAATTTTAAGTTACTTTTTTATTAAATGGGACAACTGTTTAATTTCTTGAACAAAAATATAGAATTAAAAAAAAATATATGCCACGAGTATTTATTAAAAAATAAAATGAATTAAATGTCTGAACAGGCAAGTAGAAGCATAACCCTATAATTGAAAGGAAATAAAATATTAATATTATTCGATGCGTAAAATCAAGAGCTTTTAATAAAACAGTAATCAATAATACGGCTTATTATTAATTACCCTGGTGTTTGTAATCGATAGATTTAATATAAAAATGACAATAAATACGAAGATTCAGATATAATTATTAATAATTATATTCACGTGTTTGAATGTTTTTAAAACGAACAACAATGAAAATTTAAATTGCATTATATTTTCATCTCACGTCTCTATGTAATACATTACGTTCAAAATTTCATGTAATCGGCATTCATGTGCTCACCATTTAATATATATACATACACTTGTATGTATATATTTTAAATTAAATTATATCTAACTACTCGACACGTTAAACTCTATAGTCGTAGCTGTATTGTTAATGCCAATCAATTGTATGCTGCGATTAAATTTCATACGGTTACATTATTTGCTGCAATAATCACAATAATAACAAGTTAATTATATGTTACACTGTAAAAATTTTTTTTTTAATTAATATTTATAAAAATAAAAAAATTGAATATTTTTTTTTTTTTTTTAATAATTTTGCAATTTTTAAAAAAATTGAAAATTTGATAAAAATACTTAGAATTATTTTTTTTTACAGTGCAATGATTAAAAAAAAATAATGTATGAATATGTATAATTACCATACGCATTACTTTGTATTACTTTACTGTTTATACAACAAATAATAATAAAAATGTTTATCAAACCCAAATAAATAATACATTTAGACAAAAAATAAATTATTAGCCGTTACTGTTTTACGTAGGCATTGATAGTGTAGTTACCTTTCAGTTTTTTCTTAGGCTCTGAAACAAGAGGAGCATCTGATAGCGTGTGTTTAGAATGTTCATTGATAATAGTGGAGGGGCTTGTAATAACAACATTATAAAAAACTTTAAAAAACAAAAGTGTTTTAAAAATAAAAAGTTGTTTCTGTTTAAAAATTAATAAACTTGTTACTTTTACTTGTTACTCCTGGTGTGCGTTTTATTTTCTCCGTAGTAGGAAAATATGGTAAATTTTAGTTTGTAATGGTAACGCGTACGGTTTTTTGTCAGAGAAAAAATTTGTAAATTTTTAATGAGAAAAAAGAAGAAAATGATTAATTTTGAAATTAAGATTCTGATTTAGATTGAGAGATAAAATATTCGAGAAATAGATAATGAAGGAAGGTATTGGGAAGAAAAGTCTTGAGAAAATACAACTCACCATCGCCCTGATCGTCCTCATTATCTTCCTCCTCCGTGTCTGTGCTTTTGCTCTTCCCGAGATTTTTTAACTTTTTTCTTTGTGCTTTTATGGCTCTTCTCCTCGCTGAAGATAATTAATACTATTTTTTAGTATTTAGCTACAACTTTTTTCAAAGGAACAGGTACTAGTTTATTTTTAAAAGTTTTTTGTCATTTACTTTTATTAAAATAAAATTATTTTGTTTTATTTCTTCATTTCTTTTTAAATATTAAGTCGTAATTTTTTTTAATCACACGGAAAATAACTATACGTAAAAATTACACGACTATTTTATGTTATGTTTACAAAAAAAAAAATTGTTAAATTAACAACCAGCTAATTTACTTTTTTTTTTTTCATGTAAAATTTACATTTTCAAGACAGTTTTAAGAATGTAAAAACAATTAAAAAATTTAATAGATTTTTCTGTAATTTTTTTAGGACTTTTTTGCCATGGAATTTTTTTTTAAAGTAAAAACTTAAAAAAATACCTTCAATTATGTGCATCTTTTCTTCTTCTGTTGTTCTTTCTTCAGCAAGAATAACTTCCTCTGAAAAATAAATTATTTAAATGAAAAATTGATCCCACAAATGCAAAATTAACAGATCAAAGTACAAAATCATTAAATGAAATAACTACAATCATCAAAGTGAGCAATTGAGCATTTTTACAAATGACAAATTAGCATTTACACTTATTAATTAAAATTTTTACTACCTGCTTTGCAGATCCACTCGACGTAGCCATTAAGTTCTCGCTCTAGCTGCTGATGTCTACGCATTTTTAGAAACGACTGCCGATTTTCCACTTTTTCTCTTTCCTTAGCAAACTCTCTACAAAGCCGTACAAAATTACAGGAAATTTCAAAGGGTTAAGCTATCCAATTATTATTTAATTAAATTTTTTTATTCACACTTAACATTTCAAGTTCCGAAAGTCGCAATTTTATTTAAGACGTTAATCTGATTGGCGACAAAAGCTCACTTAATCTCTGATAAATTAAAATGATTCGCTAATAGTTTTTTAATCCTTATAATTATTTTTAAATTAATATCTTTTTACAAACTGTTAATTTTAATTTTAGCAATTTTAAAAAAAAAATATCTAAAGGCAGAAAATCAATAATAAATTATCAAAAGAAGTGAATCTTCAATGAAGTATTTTCATTGAAAATTTCCTTTAATTTTCCATAATTAAAACTCAATAAAGAATTATAATTAAAAATAAATTCTTGTATGATAATAACAGAATTTGTTTTCTTTTAAGAAAATTCCAATGAAGCAGAAAATTGTGAATAAAAAAATTTATAATTACAAACGTCGATATAAAAATATTGGAGTAATTACTAGGATTTACCTGGATGAATATTAATAATAAAAAATAAATAACTGTCGAGCTAATTAATACCAAAATTAAAATTCTTATTTTTGGCGTACTGGATTTAGGCGCAGTGTAAAAAAATATGGATGAGAAAAAAAATGAACAACTAAATAAATAAATAAATAAATCATAAAAAAACAAATAAATAAAAAAAACCTGCTTGTGTGATCCACTTTAAGTATGAATTGAAAGCTGTTGTGAATAGTTTCTTTGTCCTTGCTTTCCGATACGCCGTTCGTCTTTCGACTCGGGTTCTTTCATTAGAAAACTCTCTGACAGCAGAAATAAGAAGAATAAAGAAAAGAAAATAAAAATAAAAATGAAGTGATAAGTGTAAGGTGTCTTGTTTATTAATTTTTCGAGTTTGGTTCTAGTCCAAGGCTCGCTGGATAGTTTTCTCTAGAAAAAGACTAGATGGGAGTCTTCTTGTGTTACGGGATCTCGGTGACATAAGTTGTGTTGGATTAAATTCAATTAAATATAAAATTAAAAATGAGAAAAGAATTGGATGACAAAGAGATGGATTAAGTTGAGTTATCTTAAAAATTTAATTTTGTTGTTACTCACCCGCTCAACACTCCGAGAACTAGATTCAGCATAAAGAAAGACCCGAGGACTATCAACGGTATAAAGTATACCCAATTGAAATAGCTACCAAGAGCATCATTTGTCTGAAAAATTCCGTCGAAATAATTGTAGTAATTTGTTTTGTTATTTAAGGTTGACTATTTAGACACTCAAGACACCAGTTTTGTGATAGAAGACATGAAGTGATGGAAAAGAAGACAAAAGCTTTGATTTTTTGCGTGGAAAATTTTTTTAAACAGGATTTAACTGACTTTTTTTTTTCAAAGTTAAATTAAAAATTTTTTTTTTCCTGTTTAAAAAATTTTTTTTATAAAGTTTGCGATAAAAAAGGAGTACAATTATTTCAAAGAACATGGACAATTTTCTTCTTTAATCTTGGATTTTTTTTGAATTTTTAGTCTGTAAAGAAAGTACTTAAAAAATAAAATAATAAAAAATGTATGCAAGTGCATTTGATGCTTGGAAAATATAAACCATGTTCTTTCATGAAACTTGACTGGTTCTCAAGCTGTCACAACAAGTTAATAATCAAATATTATTTAAGTTAAAAAACGAGGGTTGAAACTGACAGTGTCATACTGAGCAATGCCAATATATACATCAGTGTTAGTATCCCCAAGAACCAATAAAAATGCTTCTTGTTTCTTACTGATTTATTATTTATCTCGGAAGTTATTCTGGGAGAGATAAAAGTACACACAGCACATTATATCGACTCGAATGATACTTCACTATCATATCATATCGATATCAATAGTAATGTGGTGAAGTAGTAAATTAATAATTTGGTTGAAAAGAAAGAAAAATAAAAATAACTATGATTAAAATTCAGGATGTAAAAAACAAACCAATCATATGTTTATAGTTTTAATGAATTAATCTACATTGATTTTGGCAATATTTTTCTTACTTCATCAAGTGTCTTAAATATAAGTCAAATATTTAGTGCCAATATTTCTAACACTACCGCAAATTTTTATTTTAAGTACACTAAAAAAAAAGTTTTTGATTCAAGAGAAAAATTCTTGATAATTTTACTTAAAATATATGTACTTTTTTATTAGGAGCAAAAGTTTGTAGAAATAATAATAAATTATATTGAAAATACTTGGATGATGTTAAAATAATACTGACGATTCGTTGTAATGATTGAATATTAAGTATGAACATATGATTAGTTAAATATTTCCTTCCTGAATTTTTATCATAATTGAAGATAATTAGATTTGATAATATTGAGTTAAAATGACAATTATAAACAGGAAACACAAAAAAGATTTTGGAAAGAAAGACAATTAATTTTAACCAATTTCACACGATTAAACATTTAACACATAAAGCTTCAATAAATATTGTGTAAAAATAATAAAGGCCAAAATCAGCAGTTTAGATTGATCAGATATAAGTATATAATTAAATTTGGAAAACACTCAGATGAAAAGTCAAAAGATAAAACATTTAGTAAATCACACAGTTGGTAAAATTTTGAAAAAGCATTTTGATTAATTATAATTACTTGATAGTCAATAATTATTGTTATAATTGTTGACGAGTAATTAATTATAATTAATAGTTAGATGTTATATATTAAAACAAAAATGAGGGGATTGAAAGTGATTAACACTGAGGAACATATCTCTTATCGTTACCCAGTACAATATGGCAGTCCAGCCCTCCATAGTGATACACTGGAAGACGGTGAGCATGGCGAAGCCGATGTTATCGAAGCTGGTGATACCGCTGTTCGGTCCATCCCAATTATCTCGACACACTGACACATTTGCGTCACACACATGCGAACCTGCCGGTGCGTCTGGCTTGTAATCTGTATTACACGGACTAGGTAGATCACCTTCCTTCACTATTTTACCTGTAATTATTTGTTACTTCATTAGTCGCTACAAATTCATTACATTTATTGTATAATATTTTAGCGAAGGTAATTTTATTATTTTTATAAATGCTTTGGTAATTAAATTTATTTTGACATTCCCTTAGTTTTCCCCGAGCACTCAAAATTTTTGAGTAATTTAATAAAATGCCTTTCAAGTTAATTTTGTTGTTTTTCGTTCAAATTCAATTCACCCAAAAAGCAAACTATAAATAAAAGGTTAATTTACCAAAAAAAAAAAGAAAATACTTACTGGGATCTTCAATACTGTAGCACGTTTTGTGCAAAGTACCCGAATAAAACTCGAGCCCGATGATGGCAAATATCACGATAGCGAAGAGTACCAGCAAACCAATCTGTAGCAACGGTGCCATGGCTTTGATGATAGACTTGAGCACCACCTGGAGACCTGTGAAAAGCAATTACCCGTGGGAATACATTGACATTCAAATGGTCGAAAAAAAAAATTTGAATCCACCATAAACCAATACAGTGTGAAAATAATAAGCTATCTTGCACAGTACAAGAGTGTTTGTTATTTCTCATTCTATAATTATCCTCTAATCCAATAATAATGATAATAAACCAAAAATGAACTGTTGTAAATAACAAATAACAAAAAAAGTGGTTCTACTTTTTACACAAAGGACAGTTGGCTATTGTTAAATTGGCACACTACTCACTTGGGATGCCGGAGACTAGTTTGAGCGGTCGCAACACGCGTATTGCACGCAACGTACGTAGATCCATGTCCAAACTCACACCTTGCGGGAACACCGTGATGAACCTGCCCCAAACATACACACACCCCACCGTACTTTACTACCTACTACTCTATTACACTAATTTTGCTAATTAATTACTTAAGCTACATTTAATCTATTATCTATTACTTATAGCTTCACTATGTATTACTAGTAGACTAAACTTCTTAATTAATCTAGTTTAGATGTAATAGTCGGGATAAGGATCAAGGATTCTGTTGCTCTTTTATCATTGATTATTCGATACAATTTTCCCACTAACTTCAAATTCTATTGGATTTTTTCTAGCCCAAAATTACTCACTTATTTTTGGTTAATTAGCCAACAAAGCTATACAATGAGCTTTAATGATTGTTAATTCCACCCATCGATGAGTACATGAAAGATTTTTTGGTTAAGATAAAAAACAGTTTTTAAAAATTACAAAACATAATAAAAATAAGTATTTAATATTAACACACTAGATCTTTCAATCTAAATTCATTTTCGATATTGCTGGAGTGAATTTGATTCCTAGTTTGAGTAATTATGCTAAGTTTGATTTTTAATGAGGCCTTGAAGGGAGAAAAATTGTCAGAAACTAAAATTTGGGTCAGAAAAATTGTAGATTTTTTTGGGATTTATAAATTGGTTAAAAATTTTTATGGCGAATTGTTTTAAGAATCTCAACAGTTCTCCAATTTATTTTATCTTCTATTCACCAAAAATAATTTTAAAATTTGATTAAAACAAAAGTTCAAGACAAAATAATTTTTCAAAAGTATTTATCCTGGATCAAATAATTTTGTTTGGTATATCGATGGTTTTTTAACACAACCTCGTATCTCCAAAATAACAATTTTAGAGATGAGGTAAAAAATAGCTTATAAAAAATTAATATTCATCTAAAAACAATATTTATCAATCGTATTTTCTAAGAAGACTATTGTATTTATTATTAATCTGGTTAATATTTTTTTTTCAGTAACGCGTTTATAATTAATTATTAATTTTTCAGTTGAGCCTTTTCATCTTCAAAAGTCAAGATACGTGGTTGCGTTAGACAACCCTCGATATGAACAAAATACAGCCATAGTTGAATGAATTTTTACGACACTAATTTTTGGAGGTTTATATAAAGAAAAATGTCCAAAAATAAGAAAGCTCGTGAATTTTCAGAGATGTATAAAATTTAGTTTTTTTTTTTTTGAGACCTTCAGTTTGTAAATCTTGAATATTTTATCAATCAAATCCATTAGCAGACTAGAACCATTAATTTCTTACAGAGCAGGTTCACAACCCACATAAAAAAAAATCAATTCCCATTAGTATAAACTAGACTATTCTATTTGAATAATATTCTAAAGTAAAATGATGGATCTAACACAGTGATATAGTTGAAAGAAATTATATGGAAAAAAATGAATTAATAATAAATTATTTGTATAAAGCGACCGGCAGATGAAAATTAACATCGTACATAACTGTGGACATAGATGAATATTACTCAACACTACAGCGGCTTGCTACCATCCTGGTAAAGCAGCCGATTGAAGAAAACAGGTCCTATATGCCCAGTGTAGCATATGAAATATGAAAAATATATAAATAAAAATAAAAATATGATCTAACAGCGAAAGAGCGACAAAGAATATAGAAGTAGACTGAATTGTAGCTTACAAAGTAGAGCTTCATTCTTATCAATGTATAGCCGGATTGAACATAATAATAATCTATTATTCAGTACTGGTGGCTAAAGATAGTCCCCGCTAAAGATAGGTAGAGACACCTTGCTTGGTTGTATTACTATTACAGGCCAATATACCGAGTAAAGCTGCGTGTCGTCTCACCGTATTTCTTGTGCTCTAATACGTCAGCGCTGCTTTCGTGTCATGTTATTATTTGTTCTTAAATAGATGGATTATATTTATAAAAAGCCTCTATCGCTTCCAGTACTTATTTAACGCCTATTTTATTCAAAAACTACCCCGTTTTTTTATTTTTTGGTTATTATTCATTTTTTTTCTAATTAATTAATAAGTGTATACGGTGGTAACTATTGGAATCATTTATCAGCTATTGATTTTTTTTTAATTTAATTTTTTATTGATTATTCGATAGCTTCTTACCGAATTCTCTTTGACGATAACGACAATGAGTTATTATTTATGATAAGGAATAACACTAATTCCTTGCGTGGGAAGTTGATGTGTGACACACATATTGACCAATCATGACCGACGTTTTTTACCCCTGACTATTTGAGCTCAAAGTGAAAATTTAATGTTTCATTTCCTTTTAAGAATTTTTTGAGATTGTTTTGTAATTGATGAGTAATTTTTAAGCCTACTATTACGATTTTATGATAAAATATCTTGAAATCAGTTGACAAAGCTTCAAATTTTTAAAGTTGATTAAAAAATAAATTTTATGAATAAAAAAAATTATTTTAAAGAATTTTTATTGAAAATTAAAAATTAAAATAGAATTAAAAATTAAATATTAAATAGAATTAAAAATTATTTATTCTATTATAATAAATGCTATTGATGAAAAAATGAATAATGAAAGAATCATTTAAAGGTCACGTGTAACATAATTCCAAAAGTGCGAGGGTGTAATGTTGTTATTAAAAAAAGTTAAAACTTTAGATTTCAACGTGATTCAATTGCGTAATATTTTAATGTCATAGTAATGTTAGCAGACGCTATTGTAACCGGTGTACATCCATCAGAGAGTTTATTTAATTAACTTTAATAAATTTATATAAATCAATTTGCGTAATTGCGAGGTAGCGCTTGTCATTCAACTTTGAACTTATTAGTTAATATTATCAGTTTTCACGAGTTTATTCAATTATTTACGTCGTAATTTTTTTTTTTAATGAAACAAAAGTCGGTCTTTATTTTTTTTTTAACTTTTAATATAATAATTTATTTAAGTAAAATTAATTATTTTTTTTAACAAATTAAAATTTTAATTTTTATGTTTAAATTTAGATAAAAATCAAAATATTCATTTATATTACTCGAGTTTTTTAAATTCAACTTAATAAGTAAATTAGTCTCGCCCTTACTTTTTGAGCTCAGGAATAAAAAATGATTGAAATGTTTTTAGTCAGAGGCAAAAAACATTTAAAAATTACCTTAACCCTTTAACAAAAAAAAATCAATAGCAATCTAACTAATTTAGTACTAAATTATTTAGACTGATTTAAGGCTGATAATTAGGTTGATTATTAATTATGACAATTTAAACTAAATAATGGACACGCACCATTGAAATAATAACAAAAAAAAAGAAGTATTTAATTTGTCCTTTTATAATAAATGAATTTATAATTTATTACTAAGCAAACAAGACTAAGATACATAAGACTTAGTTAATAAATGAAACTAGTTTGTACAACAAATATAAGTTAGTTTAATTAATAATTAAAAATGAACAAAGTTCTATTGACGATACGAGTAGCTATTAAACAATTTAAGAGCCTATTTTTGTTATTAAACACTTAAACATTTTATTTTATTTATCGCATTAAGAGCAAAGTTACTTTAATAAATTAATTGAGTTAAGCTCAAAACAAGTGTTTTATAGAGTCTAGTGGTAGTTTATTGCTCGACTCACTTGGAATTTTTGATACCAGCTTTAGTGGTCTGAGAACCCTGAAGGAACGGAGCATACGCAGGTCGACGTCCACATTTGTTTCAGCGAACACGGTCATTGACCTAATCCAAGCATCATTCTAAAATTCTATTCCCTCATGTAATAACCGCATTTTTATTTTATTTTTTTTATCTGCCAGGAGACGAAGGAGAGACAGAAGCCCCGGATAGTTTGGACATTTTGATTGAGTGGTTTTGTCAGATTTCTTATATATGGCTATTTGTTCAACTTGGGATAGTTTTGGGCTTATCTTTTAGTTTACTTTTTAAATCGGGATAAAAGGTTACCTTATTTTAGATAAACATATTTTTAGATCGTAAACATTTTATAGCTTCTTTTTTTTATTTTAAATTTGAATAAAATGAAACGTAACTTTTGTGAAAATTTTTATAAATAAATTTAAGTTTGGAATTTATTTTAAGAATGAAAAATTCAAAATTTTCTTTCTATTTATTTAAAATAAAATTTTTGGTTAAATAAATCTAATAAATTTTAAATATCCAAAATTAAATATTGCCATTTTTTTTAAATTATAAAAAAAAAATCAATTGTTAATTATAAAAAAAAAAAAAATAATGAAAATTTTAATTATTTAAAAATTGAATAAAAATATTGTCTCATTTTATTTAAAAGTTATAAACAATTATTATGATTACGATCTAATAATTTCCTTAAGTAATTAATAATTAAAATTTTAAATTAATTAAAATAAAATGAGCTTTTTAAATCAGACGGAGTATTTATTTACTTATACCACTTGATTCCTCAGACTATAGAAAGTAAATTTAATTTCAATAATTAAAAAAATCAGAGAAAAAAAATATTATTTACTGAGAAATTGTAATCAATAAGTAATTAATTGATTTAAAAAATGAAAAAGATTTCTTTTAATAATATTCTTTTAAAAGAAAAAAAAAAATCTTTTCTCTGATCGGTGATTCGAAAGAGTAAGTATAAAAAAAAAAAATGAAAAGGCAATGAACTCACCCAGTGACGACGACAAAAAAATCCATGATGTTCCAGATGTTCCTGAGATAAGAGCCGCGGTGCAGAACAAACCCCAGGGCCAGGATCTTGAGACTCGCTTCGACACAGAAAATTCCGAGGAAGTATATCTCCGTCGACTCGAGCTTCTGGGCCAGGATGGTCTTGTCGTGCTTGGGCAGATGTTCCTCGAGGGCGAGCACCACGCAGTTGGCGATGATGGTTAGAAGGACGGCGTACTCGAAGGGCGGCCACTCGATTATGAAACGGGTGTGCTTACGTATGCAGTTGTCCTCCGAAAGGATAAACAACGACGAGGGTCCCTTGGAACCCCCGCCAGCCGCCCCTCCCCCTTGATCCCGGCCTGCCGGCATGACCACCAGACCAGGTGACTGAAAATAATCATTAATTTTTTTTTATTAAATAATGACTTTTGTTAAATTGCACTGTACTTTTTTAACTATTGACATTTTTAAAGATGTAAGCTCATCCCGATGTTACACTCATCAAGAGCTTTCATTTGAGTACCCACATGCATTTTTGATATATTTTTTATATATAAATATATCAAATATATGAAAAATTGATGTGGGTACTTAAATAAAAGGTCTTGACGAGTGTAACATCGAAATGAGCTTATATCTTTCAAAATGTCAATAGTTCACAAGATACAAGGTCGTTTTTCAATTATGTTAAATTGCACTGTACTTTCTTAAATATTGACTATTTTAAAAATATAAGCTCATCCCGATGTTACACACATCAAGCGCTTTCATTTGAGTACCCACATGCATTTTTGATATATTTTTCATATATACATATATATAATATATATAAATATATAAAATATATGAAAAATTGATGTGGGTACTTAAATGAAAGGTCTTGATGAGAGTAACATCAGGATGAGCTGATATCTTTAAAAATGTCAATAGTTCACGAGATATAAGATCATTTCTTAATTATGTATTGGTGAGAATGATATGAAACCTTGAAAAGGTACAAATTCAAGTCAAAACTTTTCCAATGACACCAAATTTAACCATAAAAATTTTTTCACGGATATTATTATTATTATTATTAATAATTTATTATCATTATTTTTATTATATAACTGTTAATCTATGGTTTGAATATGCATTATAACTATCAATAACGAAATTATTATTGTTATGATTATGAAACTATAGAATACATATTTGCTCGGAGAAGTTTACGTGATACACAGGAAAGTTTTGGTCGAAGCGACAATAGATTTAGTGCAATAATGTAATGACCTGGTAGTTGGCTCGAGTTACCTTGGAACGAGATCACATTCAGTAAAAGTTTATCACTGTTCTCAGACAAGAGCATTTCAAAAGCATTTTATTAAAGTGAGAAATTAAAGGAACTATAGATTCTGAAATTACCTTCGATATTGTATTTAAACTATAATTAATAATTAACGCAAGTTTATTCAAAAAACTTTATTCATTTTTAATTAATTTATTAACGATGTAAATTAAATTCTAGATTCCAGACTCTAGATTACGGAGCGACGGAATAAACTGCGAGGTACTAAGTAATAGTGGAAATTATAATTTATTTAGTGGCTGATGCCTCAAATGATCAAAGTTATGTAAACCAGTAACTTTTTCCGCGGATTAATTCGCGGATGTTAAATTTCCGCTTTGACTTTCTGTTAACTCATTCGATGGGCTTCAACCTTTCCAGCTTCCCTCCAGCTAAATTGTTGCGTTTTTTATCTCTATAAATGAATCCTCGGATGAACTTTTACGCTAGGTAGGTGACTGAGAATTTTAACTTTTAACTTAACGTTAAACTAGTTTGACTTTTTTCTGTTTATGAAGTTGAGAAAATTAATAAATTATTGTTGTTGTTTTATAATTAATAGAAATATTTTTCAGTTTAATCCAGCTGATAAAAATTATAATAATAATAATAATAATAATAATAATTATTACACTCACAAATTATCTTCTCATTTTTCAGAACGCTTTTTTTTACAAATTTAGATTTTTTTTAAGGTCATTAGAAATAAAATTTTCGATAAAAAAATTTTAATTGTATTCAAAATATTATTTAGATAATTCATATTGAATTTTTTAATTAAAAAAATTTTTTTTACGGAATAATAATTCATTTTTATAATTAATAAAATTATTTGATTATATTTAATTTTGTATTTTGACTTTATAAGCCGCGAGAATGATATAAAAATCTCGTGAGTAAATATTTACAATAATATTTAAATATTGTTATGTAAATATTACTCATTGAATTTATTATACAATAATAGATGTTACTGGCGGGTTGTTAAAAGATTAATTAAAAAAAATAACAAAAGTAAAAATAAATAGAGATAAAAACAATGAGATATTTGAAATAAAACTCAGCTAAAATGAACAGAAATTCAAAGTTTATAAAGTTACATGTTAAGCGGATATTTGAATATGCATTTTGTTACATATTGATTCACTTTGACTTTGTGAAGCCTGGATTGACTATCAATGTTTATAAAAACGATACAAGCTACTCGACAGTATACCAAACTCGATTTTATCGATTTATAAAATAGATATTTCATTTTAATGAATAAAAGTTCTCTACTTCAATTATTTAACGACAAATTTTCAATATCAAAATAATAAAAAGTTCGTCGAGGAAATAAAGTTTGTTTAAATCTAGATAATTACTCTTTGAATATACAATGTATGTGATCTCGATTTTGAAATATAATTTCAACGAACGATAACAAAGGATATCAATTTATCACCGAGATTATCATTGATATGTGGAGGTATTTTTAGATTTAATAGTTAGGGATTTATGATTGTATAGATTATTATTGCCACACGTACTATTTATATCGAATAACTCTGAGAAGCAATTGAATTCAATTGCGCTAATAACTACATATTTATAGATCAGCTATATTTATAAACCAATCCACTTCTATTTGATGAATTTTCATTTTGGTCCAATGATATTATTATGATTAGCACGTAATTAACAGTTGTGTCATTTTTTATTAATTTTTAATTGACTTTTTATTTCAAGTTAACAATGGAGAGATTGTTTTTTTTTTTTTTATTTAAATTTTTTAATAAAGAATATGATTAAAATAATTTAAATATAAAATAAAGTTAACTTTTTAATTTATAAAAATAATAATCAGAATCTGTTTTTTTTATTAATTGGCAATAGTTTAATTTATAAAAATAATACTTGTAATTTTTTTGAACAATCACATAATTGTTTTTTTTTAAATTTCAATTTTTTAATAAGTAAAATTTTTTGAAAAAAAAAATACATATTTAAAAATTTTGATTTTTATACTTTTTATGTAAAAAAAGATAAAAAATACTTAATTGTTGTTAGCATTTAAATATTAATCTTACCTCCCCTCCAAAGCTAGCCCAGTCACCGAGACCACTCAGTCCGGCCGACCTCTGCTGCCTTCTCCTGTACTGACTCGCGTATCCAGGGTCCCTTTGTGCCGCCTCTTGCGCTGCTGCCAACCTGAAGCATCAACCAAAAACATCTATAAAGCCATCGTTCAGAGTTAAATGCCTACAAAAAGCTACTTCATCTCCAGCCTCCGTCTCAAGGGATCAAAAATAAAAAATAAAGAATAGAAAGTCAACGAAAATCGAGGACATCTAGACATTGTTGTTTTGTTGTTGGTCATACAACCAGTACCGGTGTGACGACCTAGAATCGGTGAAAAAGTATGCTCAGATACAAGTACACTCCCATTCAGATTATACAGAACGAGATTGCATCGATGCATCCAGACTTTCTATTGCTCAATGTTTGTTATTTTACTTTAAGAATTAATCTTTTTAAATGTTCTTATTTCAATAGAATCTTGTTACAATAAATTGAAATATTTTTTTTTACAATTTTAAAAAATTGATGACACAATTTAAGATTTATAATGATAAAACTCTTTAATAAATCCGTCAATCATGACCTCTAAGAGCCAGTTTTTCGTTCATGTATTAACAATAATAATTAAATTTTAATTATTGATTAAAAAACTGGCTCTGAAAATAAACAAAACAGTAGTAGTAAAAAGAAAGAGCAATAAGATGTAAAAAATGAGATAAATATTAAAGTTAGATCGAAAATTCAAGAGAAAAATAAAAAAATAAATTATTGCACGCCTCATAACTCATGACTTTTGAAGGCTAAGCAATTTTGTGCTCTCAAAATACTTCTATCACAACTACATTGCACTTATAGGATAATATGAGTCAAAATAAATCAAGAACATACTCTAAATAATTATTTTATGAGGCATAACTTCTATTTATTTAGGTTTTTTAATAAAAATTTTTTACATAAAAAATAAAACAATAACTAAACGTGTAAAAATTATATAAATTTATAATAACAAATAATATTTGATATTACAATTATTTGATTTAATTACAATTATGCAATTGCAAGAATTGATGTACAAATTTAAGTATGTCAATAAATATCTTTAATAATAATAATAATTATTATTTTATGTTGCTATTTTGAAAAAAATTGAAATTTTATAAATCTCCGTTTATTTTAAGTCAGTAATACATCTTATTATTTTTTTAGAAATTAAATAAGCATTAGGAAGTGTGTACTTTTGGATTTTCCAAACTTTCCTTCATCTATTTCTCAAAACTCCAATCATTTTCACTTCACTTAAGGTTTATATACTGATTGCTCGTTGCTGATGATTATGTCTGCAGTTTACCTACTGGCTCTCAAGACTAAGATTCAGACTGGACTCTTTTTACTATTTTTATTATTAATTGCTTGTCGCTTACTCGGCAGTGGCCTCGAGTAATTCATACCCGATAATTTGGGTTATTTTTAACCAATAGAGCACCCCTTTGTTTCACCCACAGCTCGCAGCTCACAACTCACAAACTCACAGCATATAGCGTGAGCGCACCGGTTCTTTGTTAAATAAATTGGTTGTACAGCCGCGACGATTACGCGACCCGCTACGACGTTTAATATTCTAAGTGCTTTTCGTTCTCCGGTAACCGATCACGATGAGCTAACTTTTTAAATAAATTTATTTGCTCGAGAATCTTTCCTATTAAATATAATAGACATGTCATTTTTATTTTTAGGCTTTTACTTTTAACTGCCCCGGTTTAATTGTTTTACCAACTAATGCTACTGAAATTTTATTAAACTTTTAAATATGTTTGCTTCTGCATTCTAGATACTACCTACGTAATTATTTTAATTTTGCCGAGGAAATTGTACCATTGGGACATTGATCTGAATGACCTCTTTTAAATATTCAAGAGATTAATTTTTTTACCCGTACGCTAAATCATTTATTAGATAGAGAACAAAAAACTAACCCGGAATTGAAATAATAATTTTTTTTTTTATAAAAATAGATTACAAATTGTCTATTAACTATCTAATTAATTGTTGGGTTCAAGTTTTCATTTTTTTAATTACTTATAATGTTAATTTTTGAATTTTTTAATTATCTTAGTAAAAATTAAGCATTTTATTTATTAAAAAAATTATTAATGAGCTAAAAAAATTTTTCTTAATTAAAGTCATATTAAACAATAATAATAATAATAATAATTAAAATTAAAAATTTAGAATTTTTCCGATAATTTTGTAAAAAAATGTAAATATTATTTTTTTTAAATAAAAATCAAGTGAAAAATTTGAAGAAAGATAATTGAACCTTTAATTATAATTTAGCAAGTCTTAAAAATTCAATTTGAAACATTAAAAAAATACAAACTCACTCACTCTAGTAATGAGAATGAGTAACACAGGACTATCCAGTTTACAGAGACAAAAAGTTTGTCGGAATTTCCGCGCTTTGATGGTAATTAGGTAATTACTGTTGTAATGAAGTCAGTAGTTGCTGTGTTATTAAATTGTTAATGTAACACAACTGCACTTGTATTTACAGTATTTATTATGTTAAATAACGGAATGAAATTATTAAAAAATTCTGTGGAAGTTAATGCTCTAATATCCTGATCACAATAAGCCAAAACTTGGAAACTATCAATAAATAATTGATCCTGTCCTTTCGTCGATAAAACTTATCTAACTCGTTAGCCTTATACTATTATTTCCCGCGTCGCATAGCTTCGGGCCTCAGGGGGATGCAAATTCTGTCGTAAAGTGCTCTCGCGTGATTCTATCCAGGAAAATTTTACATTCGAACACAATCCCATACTCATGTAATATATATAAGTCGGCCAATTACTTTCTAACAGTATACTCAAAATAAGTCGCTGTTATTTACTTAATTTAATAGCAATTTTTACCAAAATAACTTTATATATTATGTAAATTATCCTTCATGACTCATGAGACACAAAAAATATTGAATTGATTAAAGAAAAAAATTTTTAAACTAAGAAAATCATTTTAAAAATGATGAAAGTCTTCAAAATAATCGAGTTAATATTTTTTTTTTATTTTTTCCATTATAAGTACTTGATTTTTCACTTTTTTATTTTTTTACATCAGCTTAATGACTTAGGAATGTCTGATTAAGTAAATATATGGACAGCTCTATTTAAATTAAATAAAAACTATTTTGATTAATTTTTTTGACAATAAAATTCTCGATAATTATCAAAAATATATCTTTTGTCAATAAAATTTTCTCTAAAATGTTTACAACAATTGATATCAAACACTCCACAACTTCTTTAGAATAAAAGGAGTTTTTTCATATATCATAATTATAATTACGCAAATAAAGATACTGGGACAAATATTAAAGAAGAATAAATTTTAATTAACAGTTTTCACCCTTGGGCGATTAAGATAAAACCATAAATAGATATATAAATCTAGATGCTGGTGGTGTCTCTTATTATTATCGTCTTTTCCAGTTTTAAATTTAAAAAGATTTAAAGGGATTGCGGTAAGTCTGCTGGAAATCCTGTGGTTTTCTCCGCAGTGTCCGCAACCGGCTAGCCTTCCAACAGTTTCGTTGACAAGATTTTCTCCTTTCATATTTCATATTTCATCCTTTTTATTATACATGATAAATGATAATATTATATTGAGCCCCGAGGATGACATCGACTCTCTATTTCCCGAATATCCTATTTATAAAGTATTTAAAAGTCACAACCGTTGAATAAATTCACGGAAAATTAACCGAAATAACAACACCCGAATTTAGCTTGTCGATTCGGATAGTTTTTTTAACCAAGGTAAGAGACGTTCGATGACCCATAAGGAAAGGTTTCCAGGTCACTGAGCACTAATCGATCGAACCTGTACTTTTTTTTAACATCGTGAGATTGACAATCGCTGGATTTTTTACGTGAAAATTTTTTTTAATATTTTTCGCACTAAAAATTTTTTTTTATATAAACATTTAAAGAAAAAAAAAATATGATGAGTTATAAATTTTGATAGTGTTTATGAGAACAAACAGTATAATGTTTGAATTTCATGGAAATCTATTTACTAAATTAAATGTAAACATACGTAAATTGTGAAATAGTAGAAAAGAAGGCAAACACACAAAAGCATTGTGTCCATACCGACTTTATTTGAATAATAATGATAATGATAATGGTACAATAATATGAGAGTTTCATTGTCGGCACATCAAAATCCACTGCAAACTATAAGTTACATATCAACGGCAAAGTAACTCGAGTATGAAAGGTAAAGTGTATCAGCAATTTAAGTTTTTAAACTCTCTTTATATTATATGAATGTTTTTTTTTTTGTTACAGTTTAATTATTCTTCTTTTATAACATAGAGGTATCATTTTATATTTTTTTAACGGCTACCTTGAATGTATTCATTGTAAAAAATAAATGCAGTAACTTTGGTCATTGTTTGTAATATGATTAACTTTTTGTAAACAATTAAATTTTTTTTAATTCATAAAAAATAGAATTAAAAAAAATTTTTTTTTATTCATAATTCTAAAAATTCTCATTTTTTGATGAAACAAAATTTTTTAATATTTTTAATAAACTTTACTAGAAAATTTAAATTATAAATGTTAAAAGTATGAAAGTAAAATTCTAAAAAATTCTTAAGCTTTTAATAAAAAAGTATCTTTATAGTTTATAGTGATGAAATCAACGAGCAAAATACTGTAAACCGCAACTTTATTAAATAACTGTAAAATAAAGATAAATAAAAAAAAAAAGCAGACAGTCTAATAATATGATTGGAATATTATTTATTTGAAAATGGTTGTAGTTGAGTCCCCTGGGTATATTATCTAGAGTCTCTCAACGAGACGGTCTCTTTTATTTTCTTACCTCCCAGCTCACTCGTTATGAGATTTTCAAAGGATAATAATAATTATAATTTATAATCTGGAGGTCTTTTACTCGGAGCATCTCAAAAGGCATAGTCATAAAAAAGTTTATATAAAATACTGTATTACGTGACTAATTGTAAGGACCGAGATTTTCTTACTTACACTTATACTTAACTACATCATTCCGTCATTAATCTTTGAGCTGTTATTACTTCATACTTTATACTTTTTATTAATACTAATGATAATGAATCTCCGATCTCAATTCATCTTAACTTGCTAAATTAATCACTGTGTCCATAAATAAATAAATAAATAAATAAATAAATGAATAATTATTCATCATATTTTATAATAAATGTGTTGAGCGACTGTGGTGACA